ATTGTGTTTGCCCTGTACTGGTACCACTTCTGGAAGATCTAAGCTTATACAAGAGTTATGTTGGGTACAAATGCAAGTGTAATGTAGGTAAGTTTCGACAAGAACGGCAAGAATCAACGAAATTATGTATATATGTTATACATCTCATTTGACAAAATGAGAAAAAAGACAATTATATTATTATAGTCAGTAAGAACTAACAAATGTTGCTTACGCGTTAATAAACTATCAATCTTCGAGGAACGATAGTTATTAGTTAACAAAGAATCCAGAGTATACTGCGTCACCATATAGCATTTGTTTGTCATTCAGAAAATGTTTTGTTACATCATGCAGCGCGGTATCTAGTTCTGGATAAATTAGGACTAATTTGAAAGCAATATGAAATTATAACATTTTTATTATAAATACAGCAAATAATAAAGCAAAACAATCCAAGTTTGAAGATCGTTTTTTGAATGTCTAATAGATTTATATAAAACGACACTTAGAAACACACTGCACCAAACTCAGTTCATTGTTATCCGTTGATATCTTATCGCAATCACAATTTTCTAAAGCTTTCACAATGCCGGCACGAATAATACTTTCCATGGTACCGTCACCGCGCCACAGTATTCCTTGGCCTTCACGTCTTTCTAGTATAAGCATACGAGGATCCAACAGGAAGAAACCCATTTCGCCAGTAATCCGCAAGATCAATGTTTTAGCTGTATTTACAGCAATTCGAATGCTTGCAACTGCATTACCAAAAGCAATTTGCATATGCACATACTGTAATTCTTGTAATCGGAAATGTTCCACCAAACTGCTTCGTTGATGGCACGTGGTTGCAATCGGTATCGGATTGCAATCACAAATTACACTCAGTGCATCGAGAAGTTCATGACTTACTTGATGAAGAACAGTATTACATTCATTGTATAGACGATGCTCAGCATCTTGAGGCTGTTCGAATGTTGCCTCTGCACTTATATTTTGAATTGAACCTATTTTTGCGATATTCGCCTTAATTAGTTCCACGGGCGCTGAGTACTTCAATGGATAGATAATTTGCAGAAATGTGTGATGCTTTTCCGAAAATTCCGCAAGCAATTGAGCCGTCTGCTCGGAAAGTGCAGCTGTACCGATGCATATTGCTTTCTTCTTTAAAGCTAAAATAAAGACCTCAACTTCAAACAATTCTTAAAAAATGAAAAATCCTGCAGAACCAATACCTAACTTACAAATTCCAAATAGACTTCTACTTAAATTTTAAACTTTCGTTAACTAAGCTGCTCAAATAAACAGATGAAATCAAAAGAAAATATTGGTGCAAAGGTAGTGAAAATAAGTGTAACGAGAGTAAGCGAAAAACTCACGTAACTCGTATCAAAATTAAGCAATAAAAATTTAATCTTGGGAAAATTTCACATCATGATAAAAATGCAAAACAAAACCTTGTGCCTGCATGCAAAATAAGGCATTATGAGCAGCATGCCCAGTGATAACAATCGCATTTGTATCATTTCTTGAAATTAGCTGAAATGCTGTATGCGACACCGATGGTACATCGTTATTGGCAGCAGTTTCTATACTTCGTTCCGTATCGGGACACCAAATTGCTAAACAAAGATTAGTGATAAATGAGCTATATTGAAATGCGAAAATCAAATCTTGTCTAATTTCGATATATGATGCAAAAAAGGAAATTGCAGAATGGTAATCTCATTAAATTCTTTTTATCTGTTGATATCATGCACTACTATAATCGTACTCTTCTATTTTTTGTTACTAATGGCATTACTGTTCAATGCCATTATCCAATTATGCGCATAAATTTTGAAATTCTTTTCACTATATAGCATGAATCTTCTGTAATCTAACAACATGAACATGTGATCTTAATAAAGAATAGTCCTTTGATGTAAGAGAGATATGGAAAGTTTAGAGCTCCCTCTCCAACTATTATGATTAGTGCTACACTTTAATCATCAATAGGCACTTCTTCTGATTATCAAGCTCATGCCCATGCACTTATTAAATTTTTTCTCTTCTAGAAATTCACCATAATTGCAATATCCTGATGTTAAGCACCTCGGTAACTTCTCATAATACAAGTGTAGATTAACATCGAATGATCCTCATTTTCAGTGCTTTCAGTTTTTAACGAAAAGCATTGTACGTTTGTTAACAATTCCTGAATGCGCTGTTTATACTGCGAATTCCCTCCACTGCAAACTCAAAAAAAACGATACGTCTGTTTTTAGACTATATTAGTTTTTTGTATCAAATAAACAGCAGGTATATAATAGCAAAAAAAGAAGCAAGATACAACTAGCATAGCAATGGTGTATAACATAATCAAATTTATTTAAGAAAACATGATCAGCTACCAAATACAATGCCTCAACCGCAATTATATGATACCAAGTCAGAAGAATTTGCTAAAATTTTATCAAAAACTCAAGTAGTATTTAAAAAATACCTTTTAAAATGAATCGTTTAATTTCGGTGATTAATTGAACATAATATTCCACTAATTCCGCATCACTGCAAACCAAGCCAACCAACAACTTTTTCTGATCATCCATTGTTAAAGAAGATTCTTAACACATCTTTCAAATCGTCTATCTAAATTTTCGAGTTTACTTATCCTGACACCCATACTTCCATAACTTATACATTTCGAATTCTCTATTTCGATGTCTTTCAATCGATAACTGGAGAACAGAAAAACAAAACTATTAAGAACGGAACTAGGAGACTAATCATAAATACTGGCTTAAGTTAAATACATTACATATAAAGAGGAGAAAGGAAGGATAGAGCTTCCAACAAAACATCGAAATAGAACATATAAATCCCTAAACAATGTGACAAAACACGAAAAAAGTAGACGTAAACAAATACAAAATAAAACAATCATAAAGAAATGAAATTCACATGCGTACGATGATGGATGTAGCATAAAAATAAGCCGGTAGTGGTGAAAATCTATATGAAAATTGTAATTTAAGATACTCTAAATAATAAAAAATGTCACTATGAGAAACCATAGCCAACTATAACCTGAAAACGTGCAAGTAAATGCAAACATCGAGCAAGTCCGTGTAGCAAGAGCCACCTAAAATCCTACATTTCGAACTAATATCGGATAAAGATGCACAGGCAAATGTGAACATCATGTTAAATTTTGCACATAGAAGCAAAAAGCACCTGAAAACGTAAACTTTCCACAAGTGTACAGTAAAAATGCGTAGTAGACAATGTAAGTAAAATAAACATGAGCGCAGGTTAAGAATCAAGATTAATTATTCCTAATGAGGTATTATTAAAAAATAAATTGGTAAACATTATTTGATGGAAGATTTCATAATTGATTTAATTTTCATTTGTTATTAGCGTAATAACTTAAATATACTCGAAATATATGTGAAGCATAACAACGGATGGTCAAAATAAATATTTTGAAAATTAAAGCGGAAGTAAGTAAATGAAAAATCAAACAACACAGAAATCACCAATTAGGACCATTAAAAATGAAATGAATAGAAATTCAGCCCAATAGTAATAACAATCAAAGTTACATGAATCGGTCACACAACGAACCCATTTGGTTTGAACAATTTATTGATATAAATTGTTAGCATGAAAGCTGTTATTAGTATTGCTCGGTTGGCTGGCTGCGGTTGTTGGTACAGTTTTCTTGGCTTTTATTTTGCTGTACTTTACACTTCTCTTACTTTACAATTTTGCTTGCTTACCTTTATTACATAAATTTAATATTTATAGTTCTGTCTTTTATTCATTATTAAACTTTGTTATCGCTTTTGTTCGCTTTTTCTTTCCATCCATCACTTTTATTTTTCATTACATTTGATACTTATTTTATTTCTATAAACTTTTATTCAATGTTTGATAGTTGTAATGAAGTTTACAAATTTTCCCTGAGTGAAATGATTTCACATCAAATAAGTACTGAATTAATTTCAAATTATTTCAAGATCTCGATTTTATTGGAAGTGAATGGCAATGTCTGATGAGGAGTTATTTGTTGGTGATGAAAATGATACTAATTCGAAAGTTCCTGCACATGAAGCAGACCCACACGATGCAGCCATGCAGCAGGTTAGATATTAATTTGAGGTAAACATGTTGGTTTTGCGAGCAGGACAAGATTATCTTTATTCAGAATATTTGCCTCGCTGAATAATAAGCAGGAATAAACTTGCACACTTTGAATGCTAGTACACATGACATATGTTCTGCGTTCCAATGCTCTTGCATATGACGCATTTTTACCCTTTGCAATTTCTTTTCCACGCATATGGGTACATTACTACGGCCTCATAATTTCATGCTAATTGGGTAACTTCGGATTTACTAATGCAACACTTTCAATTATCGGTAAATCTGGAAGTCCTAACATCTTGGTTCTCATATGAAGTTTCCATATCATATGATGCTTTTATGGCTACTTAGTACCCATGAGAACATAGTACCTCTGTGATTATCTATTCACGAATATGAGGATCACGTAATTTTGCGTCCTTATTTTTTGCTAATATGATATCAAAACATCTATCATGATAAACACATTGAGATGTTTCTTTTTGTTCACTTTGAAGTGACAAAATATCACTTTTCATGCAGGCACAGATGTAACGATCAGCTACAAAATTTACTGATTTTTCTCCAGGAAGAAGTACTACCTAATTCGCTTAGTAACAGTGCTTTAGAAACTTCATCGTCCAGTACTTTTCTTACAGATGATGTTAATTCATCTGGTTAAATAATCTATTCAATTTTAATCATGGGTTTAAAGGAGTACATTATAGACTTTCTGTGGAATTAGGTTTCAGTGGTATTTACATTCTTATGTAACTTGTACACAGCTACACATATATATAGCTATAGCTATACATAAACATATAAGTTAGTTTAGCGATTTGCCATTCCTGACATGCGAAGACTTCGGGTTTTTCAAGATTGCCCTGCATTCAATATTTTTGTTCGAGGTAATGAACGCATGCCTGGTATATATATTCCAAGATTTCATATCCCGAAAAATTCTTCAAATTGGCGTGTAAGACATTCTTTTCTCATTTATTTTCAGTCAAATTTCTGATTCATTCAAAGTGGGGTTTTGAAAGAATTACTGCTAATTGAGAATTACGGGGTTAAATGAAACGAATATTTTTTATCCCAATAGCAATGAAAATCTGATAATTCTTTTTATTGAAAGCTTGTACGATCATGCATAATTATCAAGAATAGCATTAAAAAAATTATAAATGAATAAGTGAGTGAGTTTCGCTGGACGATGGAGAGCATAGGTTTTTTAGGCGCAAGTATCAACCACGAGAAAACGGAATCATTTGCGATTGCAGAATTCAAACTTAAATGTTGCTGGTTCGAGTTCGATTTCAAGTTCAAGCCCCGGACAGAGTGGTGCAAATATTATTCCTCAGAAACGTTTGTTTTCACCGAATAATTCAGCTTGTACAGGTGTTACCCATCGGCCATCAGTCGATCTATCTGCTTGTGGTTCCGAATTTGCACGTTCTCCGGATGACGCTATACGTCATGGTGAATTTTCGTCGGGAATTATGTGTTATATAATATTTGGGACTTCCAGAAATCAAACCAACTTTAGACATTTCAACTCTACCTTAGAGTTTGTCTTTATTTCATGCAGTAACTGACAAAAAAGGACTTGGTATTTCTTTAATAAAGTTTTAACATGAATTGCAGACTCGAAAACCGAAGGTTCAATAAAGTTGAATATATCGAACATGGGAGCATTGAGACAAAAAGTTACCACGTCATTCCATACAATTGCGAACCTGCCATGGTAAATTCTCTTACACACAAAGATTTAGACTTAGGGCACTTAATTTAAAGGCACAGTTTCTTTGTTCTTAATGCAGAAATTGAAGAAACTGGATAGTGTCGAAGGGCGAAGGAACGTATCTTTTAGAAATTCGAGGAAAGTCAAGAAGATCCTTCACTAGCTTCTTACTCAACTGAATAGGATGAAATAAATGATTTTTAAGAATAGTTTCAAAAAAACTTTCCTCGAATAGTTTCGAAAAAAAGGTCCGTAATTGTCAGATGAACTCAAAATAAGTTTTAACGGGATGGGTTCGTCTTTAGAGGTAAAACGTTATCTATTTTCCTTGCATTCTTCATAGCTGTTAATAGCATGTTGCTTATTGGAGGAAATTTATCGATAGATTAAATGAGATGTACATTACAGGCGATTGGCAGCTAAAACCGAATGTACGAAACGAACCAGCAATGTAAAATTTTTTAGCGTATACATAGATTGCAATCCAGAAAGTGAATCAACGTTATGGAGTTGTGATGCTATTGTTGAGTTTCGCTTGATCTCCCAAAAAGCTGACACTCCTAATTTTAGTCGTCAGGTAATCTGCAAAAGTGGCTAAAATTAAATCAATATATTCATTGTCTAACGTAAACTTGTGTTACAACATAATGATTCACGTACGTTACCAGTTGAGCTGTCGTTTCGATAAGGAAGGAGTGCTTACTGTTACAATGAGATTTACATTTATTTCAGTTTACGAATAAGTTCAATTATAATTCAAATAACTGGGGCTTTCCGTCGTTCATGGAGTGGAACGAAATATTGAATGTTGATAAAGGTTTTATCCGTGGCGATCGTGTTGTGGTTGAAGCACACATTACTGTGCAGAAAGTCGTTGGTGTGAGGTAGAGCTTATTAGAATTAGCTTTTTAGAATTTTCTTATTGCCTTAAAATTACTAAATACTAGTATTGTTAAGTCCTCACTCTGTGGATAAGTTACATATGGACGAATTGAAATGAACGAGTAACTGAGTTGAATTTCCAGGCAGTTTTGGTATTCAGAATTCGTAATAATATCATCATCAATACTTTTATTTAAGGTCCAAGATAAAAGTTGGAAGTTCGTAGCTTTATATTAATTGCAGTTTGATTTTTTATGGTCATTTTCAGAAAAAATCCCACATTTGATTTCACCGTACCGCAACCAAATACATCAGATAGTGTGCTTGTTATCGATGGTATTCGTTTGCATGTCAGCAAAGCGGTATTGTTGCATAGACTTCTTTTTTATTCCTATTTAATAGGTCATAAAGTGAAGGAGGAAAGAATAAAGGGAAAGGGAGCGGAGAGGGAGAGATACTTCTACCATGCCCGCTGGTACGGAAGAATGAAAGTAAATTTCTTACTCCATCGGCTGTAACCATGACAGTACTTGTTCTGGATTTTAAATCAAGAATTGATTCTAAAATATTTTACATTATAGTGGTGTATGCGTTGGAAATACAGTTCTGATTGGGAAGAATTAATTGTATGTTTTTTGTTTGTCGTTTACATTTAAAATTTATTGCAGTATTTGGCCCTCTATTCACCCGTTTTCCATGCTATGTTTTTCTCGAAGTTTAGTGAAAGGGACAAAAAAGAAATCACTGTTGAGGACGTCATTCTTGATGAATTCATTGAATTGCTAAGCGTTGTATATCCATCTCATAAACCGGTCTCAGGTAAATGTTTACTAAATTTAAGTGGAGAAAGGTAGCGCAGTAGAAACCAGAAAGTGTAGGTAAAATCGGTTTTACCAAGTTAGTAAATAAAGAATAACAAAGAAATTAGTTTTAGTAGATGTCAAATCTACTTAATGATAAAAATGTTACGATTTATTGGATAAATAAGAAGAGATATCATATTGAGTGCAAATTTATGTTTCAGCTGAAAATGTGGAGTTTTTGCTGGAACTTGGTGATAAATTCGAAATTCAATTCGTAATCGATGAATGTGAAAGATTTCTAATGCGATCCGATGATATTGCTGTGGTCACGAAGCTTGTTTGGGCTGATCAATATTGTCTTGCTAAATTACAGGTTTTTTTCTTTGATACCAATGTCATTGTATATGTCTGATCAGAATTGCCAATTATTTAATGTAGTTCTTCTGACGATAGAACTGCGTGGATAGCCAGCGTAATCATGGACCATCATATTAGCAGAGGGCTTATGATGCCATCTTCAAGCCGACTGCTGATGGAATCTGTTGAAATGCGACAAGTTAGCACTGAGTGTGTTGACTTTTCTCAGTTCACCCGAACCTCTGAAGAAAATGGGGGAAAGGTTTTGCTGCCGCTACCATCATCATTCCATGACGAAGTGATCATGCTAGGTTTTTTTAAAAAATTGGTGACTTGTTTTATATTCTCTCTGGTCTGTCGTCTGAAAAATTATACGATATTCACAACTTGATATTTTCCACTCCAACTTTTATAAGTGGGTGGTTGTTCATTGGACCATTTATTCTGTCTTAATTTCTGATTATATAATGCAGAAAGTTTGTAAGAAAAATGCCCAAGATGTGCTTTTTTTTGAAGTTCCCAACTATTTACTCGGCTCAATTCAATGAATGGTTCAGTTGTTTCAGGATGTTTGTGTGCGAACCTTCAAACAACCAACTGATATAAAAGCTCTCAAACAAACCGAAGAATACAAAAATCTTAGTGATACGACAAAAGCCGCTCTTCTGGAGAAAATTTTCAAATTGCTTTAATTTGAAAAAATTCAGTCAATTATATGTTCTTCATCACTTTTTTTTATTGCACTGTTCTCTGATTAACGGAATTAGTGAACGAGGTGCACTTAAATATTGCTAGTCTTTCTGTTTGGTACGGCTTGGTAACTGGGTCAGACGTTAGATGTGCGACTGTCGTGCCAAATAATACTGATAAATTCTTTTTTTCCTTACGAAGTTGATCAAAAGTTTAGTTAGTGTTTAGCTAAAACATACTTCCGGAAATATATTCCTTCCTCGTCCTTTCTCTAAAAAATATCAACTTTGCTTCTTTTCCTTCCTTTGATAGTCCCCAGTTATATGAATATGTATATATTTTTCTGGAATTCGCCAGTTATTCCAGTACAACCGGTCAAAACCTTCGCCGTATATTATTGGTCCGCTAAAGTGAACTACCGCTAAAGCCGCTGTCTCTGTGAGATATTGTTATAATGCAGCTTTAATCGGTCGTCCACATACTTTTTTGTTTTTCAATGCAAAAAGATATTTATGATAAAACTATCCCTCCATTTGTTTGCACCTACACTTTAATTCATAAGAAATAATGCAAATGCCGTGAATAATAATTTCTCGGTTCACCTATCTTACAATATTTCCATGTCAAGAATCTCGGTATATGCCGTAGTTCGTCAACACCCAATGCAAAATTCCTGCAAGTACCCCACAACCCTCCACTATCTTAAATATCTTCGTACAAATATTCAGGACTAGTCCCTGGAAATCAGAACGTCGAGGCTTACGGCCAGACAAACAGAAGATGGTTCCAAGTAGGGAATTCCAAGTGAGCAAATAGGAGCCAACACTACAAAAAAATAAGGGTCAACTTTCTGGAGGAAAGTTTTAAATGTGCATATTTCCCACTGCAAATCCGTCACCGCCACTGTATCATTGTTAACCTATTTCTAGATTCTGCAACACGAAGCAAGAATAGATAGTAGCACGGTAATGCTCCGCGAATAGTGAAATCATAATCCACATTTTTCAATCTTTTTCCGAAACAAAAATATCTGGCCTAATCTACATTGTCCCAGGCATTCAGTTCTCAGAACTGTAGGATACGAAGCGTGTCAGTCCTTTTACTGCATATTACATTAGATTTGACTGAGAATAGAATGAAACTTTAATGATCAATAATGTTTATTACGTCATAACATTCCTTAACAAAATTACTTCTTTCCTGCAGCAACTTTGGTCTTCTTTGTTCCACGCACTTTCTTCTGCCTGTTCTTACGCTCCTTGCGTTGCTTACGGCCTGATTTCTCAGCTTTCGTGCCCGTTTGCTGTAAATTCAGCAATTTTATTTTTTTTAATCAAAATACAACACAATAACGCTCCTTTTCAAGCCAAAGAAAGAAACTGTTCTTACTCCGTGGTTAAGACTAGGATTGCTATAAATCCCAATCCAAATATATTGCTGCACTTAGAAGAAAACATGCCACATGCAGATGAAAGCATTACAAGACATAAATCCTTCGTGTAGCATATTTACTAATTCGGATGGATGGAGCCTAATCATAAACCACATCACATGGCAACTTCAACACTTCATTACAAAAATACCATTTGGTTTTAAAGTGCTAGGCTCTTCATACTGCCAAATTACCAAACAGTTATGCAGCAATTACCAAACAATATAATATGTAGAACTGCCTATCCTCAACAACTGGTGGCTACCTTATGCAGGCCATTCTCAATATCTTAACAGGCCGAAGAACTTACTCTCAACAAACGGTATTTCGGTTCGAATTTTTTGGCAAGATCTGCTGTATCATAGATTAGCGCAAAACCAGTACTCCTTCCACCACCAAAGTGACATTGAAAACCATACGCAAAAACCAAATCAGGCGTGGTCTTGTACATTTGAGCCAGCTTTTCACGAACCTCCACTTTAGGAACTGATGCTCGATTAGGATGAAGGATTTCGACCACCTGCAAATTAATAAAACATTCTTATAAAAATGTGAATTAAACCATGTGAGAAAGAGATTTTGGTCAATATTCAAAGATATTAAAATATTAGAACCTTGAATAAGGCAAACTTGCTTCAAATCTAAAGTTGACAGGAAAAAGGAACAATTCCGTTTATATATATCTTCAAGCCTTCAATCTTGACAATCATGTCAAACTTTGAGGCGTAGGATGTTTAAAACATTGTATTGTTGGGGTTAGATTATCTTTTTTTCATGAAAAATCCAGTAAAACGATTTAAACCAATGTAAATTTGACAATATGAATAACAAATTTTCACCATTTGTCGTCTTGCCAACAAGCGATTAGTCATCACTTTGTTCGTCCGAATTGTTACTACTGAATCACCCTAAAAATTTGGAATGGAAAGATCATATTTTTTATATTTTTTTATTCATCTTACTTCATTTATATCATTCACTGCCAAAACGAAGAGGCTAAAAGCGATCGTCTTGCCAAAACTGTTACGTACATTTTGAATCATTGTTATTATTGCATTTCATTAATTTTAAGATGACAAAAGCAAAGTAGATTTATATACGATAACAAATGTTAAAATCTGTGTTTTATCGTAAGTTATATTTCCTGAACCTTACAAAAAAAAGTCAAAATTTTCAACAGAATATTCTTCCAATCGTGAACTTTTGTAGAATATTTGTGCAAATTTCCTTAGAGACAAAACTTTAAAAACTACCGGACAATTTACTTTTACTTCAGCTAAAAGAAGAAGGACCCGAAGAAGATAAAGCTGTCATCACGAACTTAAAATCTTTTCGATCAAAAATTCATCCGAGACTTTACCACACATCAAATAAAAGCACTTCATTTATGCCTTCTTAATTAGCGTCTCATAAATTAGCGTAAATTTTGCTCGAATGAAGTGAATTTATTCAAAACTAAAAAGCAATACGCATTTCTCCATAGCGTTGGGTCATATCACAAAATGATACCAATAGTAATAGGATGAAAAACTCAGCGAATACCACGGAAAAAATGAATTATACATTACTGAAACCTTCCTTACTCCATTTTTTTATAACCGAAATTCAATGTTACAATTCAGCCCTGTTATTGAAAGCCAGGTTTCAGCTCAAAATTAAAAACGTTTACAATACTGTTATAAGCAAATGTTTACCAAACTGTTGTCTAGTGTTTGCTGCTCACCAATGAACTTACAATATTTGATAATGTCAAACCATTTTCAGTATGCTTAATAAGTGAAAAACTTCTGTGAATGAGTCCTGAATGCAAATTTCAATATTTAAAGAAGTAATGAACTTACCATATTTCCTAACAGTAACGGTAATTGTTCGATTCGAACCGTGAATAAAGATTAGCTTTCAAATTTCTTTCGATTCAAATTTCCTGTAATGTATGCAAGCAAAATTCTCGATGCACTAATAACATAATCTGCATTTTAAACAGCATCAAAATCTTCTGTTTCCCTCTATTTGAAGAAATTTTGAAGACAGGAAACCTAATTCTCAGTGAAAGGTGAAAGGCAAATAACTAATCTAATCCCCCACTTCCTTTTCCACCCAAAAACCCGTCAATTCCTAATCCCGATGCAAATGCCCCAATCGCGATGCAAATGACATATACTATTCCTAATGAAACATTGGTTCGAACCAAATCTCATTGAACAACACTGCAATCTCTTGAATATATGCCCCGATACGAAAACCATATATCCTAATCACACATATACATAAGCAACCCCACCGCCTTACGAACCAATCAATGCTAATTGGAGGAGAAAGAATTGTGTTGTCTTCACCAGATTGTGCAGTAGGTTGTTGTAGAAAAAAGAAAAATGTTGTAAATAATCAGTGATGTTGTATTATGGCATTTCTTAGCATAAGGTTACTTTACCAAAAGATATTCATAGCCAATGTAAGTAGAGTGTTACTTTTATGCAACATGTTATAGCAAAGCTTATGATGCAAGAGTTGGCAAAAGAAAGAAAAATATAAAATTCTGAAAATATATTACAAAGCACTTTGAGTACAATAATATGAACACTGCATAATATGATTTCATATATTACTAAACAATTTGAAGGGAGCGTTTGCATGTTTTGGCCATAACAGATCGTTTAGACGAACAGTGGTTTCGAGAAAAGCTAAAATGAAATTCGGATAATGAAGAGATTAGACAGTAGAAAAATTAAAAACTTGTGCAGCAGAGAAATATAGTTTAAGGCCAATTGGAAATACATAATCCCTAAAATAAATACTTTTAGTATTTAGCATGAGCATTTTTAACAAACATAATAAAACGTATAATATCCAACATTATCGTCCTTTATAAAACATTCCAATATTTTAATTGCTTAATCTGAATTATCCAAATTAATAAGAGAAATTTTTTTACTGAAGAATTTCTTTCTTTTGCCTTTTCTCCCTTATTAGAATACGTCTGTCCTCACACAAGTAAGTCAGGCATTGTTTTTCAATTCCGTCAAATATATCTAATCGACACTACTGAATATTTTTCAATGATATTTTGAAATTCCTTCCAGGAGAGAAGCTTCAAAAATAATGGTAAAAATGATTCAATTAAAATATGTAATACTTGAAACTTTTAAAATGTGAATTTAGGAAATAAATGAAAAAATATATAAATTGAAACAACTAACAAAAAATGAGATATACAAATATAATCTAACGAAAAGTAAAGAATAAAACAATCGGAAACTAAAAAAAAAGTATATAATCCTTCAACATGTCTGAAAAATAATAAATGCATATGAATTACAGAGAAAGACAAAAGTGATAATTACAAGCATATATAATTACCTAAATAGATTTACCTAAACTAAATCATATATTTTCTTTTATAACATTTCATTATTCGATAAGCATCTTGAAAGTGGGACACTGTGCAACAATTCATTTAATACATAACTATAGGAACTGCGTAAAATCAATAAAACCGTCACTTTAAATATAGAGAAGAGGAAGCCAAGTCTGTCAATTCATATGACCACACATCACACATTATTTTTGTTTTACAAATCCTTCTAATGTATTTTTATTTACAAAGGTGGTGGTGAATTGAATGATACCAAAGGGAAAAACCACGGAAAGAAACGGTGCGGTATAAGGGCAATCAAACAAGCAAAACAGCACATTATCGCCGTTACCATATATGGATAGCTATTTGTACACTGCTTTATATTTCTCATTTTAATGTCAAAAATATTCTTGGTGACAGTAGAATCATATGTCATATTCCGTAGTAATATTTTTTGTGGTCTCGGTTTGATATACTTTGATCGATATGATGTTACCTTTTGATCCGTACCTATACGACCTGGTATTATCAATTCCGAGCTATATTTTGCAGGTGATTCTGAATGGAATGTTTCAAATCCCGAATCAACAATAGCGGTTGATTCATCGATATATTTTGATGTTTTAGTGAAACGTTTCTTTTTGTCGATGATTTCCTGAAAATATTAAAGTTTCATTTCATCTTTTTTCCATAAAAGAAAGAAAGAAGAAAAGGTGGCATTATTTTAAAATCATACGATCCATGAGTGGAAAATGACATGTGATATCTTTATGAAATTACATAGTTATCGTGGCTACTTTGTGAAATTACACAATCACCATGGCTATAGCTGAAAATAGAACTTTTTCATTCCCAAAAAAGTCTGCTTCAAGTATCCTTCGTCTAATTCTACTATTTTAACCCAAAAGATCAATTCATTGCCTTAGTTGGTAAAACTTGTAACTTACGATTTTTCTATACATATTCTTTTAAAATCGATAAACGTAAATTATAAATCCCAATGTAGCATCCTTTAAGCTAAATTACTCATTATTATTTAGTTGCAATTAATATACCTCATGAAGTATACAGCAGAGCGCATTATACAGTTCACGATTCTTCGGTTTGCAATTTTCCTGAGCCAGTTCCAAATAATACGTCAAATTATCGAGCATGCTTGTAAATTCCTGCGTTTCGCATTGATCACTTGCAATCCTCCTACGGATTCGATCCCATATTTCCAGAAATCCTATCTCGTGATTAAATTTTACTCTACTGCTCATTCAATCTGCAACATTTCTTATTAAAATAGCTCCAACTGCAGAACGATTACCACGCTATGTAATCTTATGTCGCCTAATTTCATGCAGTGGTTTTTCCACCCAAATCTTCTTGCTTTCCATCATTCAACATACTATAACTTTCTCTGCCAATCCTAAATGCTATGCTCCTCTCTGTATCGCAATGAGTTTTTCAGGCTGAATGCTGTGAAGTTCAAAGTATAATGATTACTTTTGTAATTATAATAAAATCAAAATAATTATCGAGAATTTAGAACAGTCTAATAATAAATGAAAGGTTAAATATTTACGGGTTATTTAAAAAATTTGAAACATATATTAGCAATACTATAAACTATAGGTAACTCTAGAAACCTCAACTTAATGAAAATTAAATAATTAAGACAAAATAAAATAAATTTAACAATGAAAAATAAACAATTTAGACAACGTAAATTGAACAATGCAATTTAGAACTTAAAACAATGAAAATTTGGTTTATTAAATTAAATAACTCTAAAAGCTTTTGAATTATCCATTCCTTGGAATAGCTTTATAATTATAGGATTGCAAAAACGAACAGAAAGTTCAAAATTTATTTTCCTTCCAAAAAAAAGAACATGAATAAAATATATGAATTGCAAAAATAACGACAAATATGATGATACAGAATGTGTTGAATATTCATGAATCTACTTCATTTTATTTTAAAATGAAGTGAAAATTATTCGGCTTAATTTTCCAGATTAATTTTCCTTTTTCTTATTCAGAAGACAGGGAAACAAACAGAGAGAGAGAGAGAGAGAGAGAGAAAGAGAGAGATTGAAGTAGGAAGAAAGAGGTAAAAATGTTGTCATTTAAAATGATCGGAATGGTACAACAGGAATAATATTAACAAAGAAGAGAGAAATTCTAACCCGAAAATTTTTGAAATAATTACTTCATATCAATTTTATACTTCCACATATACATAATACGGGAATTTATTTACCAATCGTTAGCAAATGATTTTTGAAAATGACAATAATTAGTTTAAAATAGGAAATAAGTGGTAAATCGAAATCTTTAATTAATGAGTATTCTAATGATGATAAACAAAAAAAAGGAAAGAAAAAAACGTGATCATTCCAATCACTCGCATAATCGTATTATCGTATTACACCTATCACACCTGTTCCTTTCAGGTAACGATACTGCCTGTATCATGATTATCACTATACAAATTGAAATGATACAACAGCTATTGTAATATAATTCGTGCTCTTTTTCCTTATCAATCATCCACTACAGCGGTCTATCAATCATTACTATTCATATTATTTGTGATAGACCAACGGTGTTCTTACGTCTGTACGCATACATATGAAACTTTTATTAATTACTGTTAGCGAAAATAAAGTAAGCTTTCAATAATATAACGCAACGATAGAGAATTCGAAAACAATAGCAGATATATTAAAAGATTTACAAGATTAACAAAATATTATTGAGGACAAAGATTAAGTTTAAGAGAAGAATAAAATCCAAACAACGTATTTAACTTCTATACACAATAAACAATTATCACCACACAAGTTCGTCAATAAGCAACCGGGTTGGGGGACAATTTGCGAGAGGTGATCTTTCTACGTATTTCATTTGCTTATGTTTCTTAGCGTTCGTTATCTTTTGTTGTTCCACATATCTATATATATATATATAGTATATCATAATTGCTAAGGATAGATCGTATTGTTTCATTAACTTGGAAACATTTGCTTTAATGACATCAAATAATGATGAAAGTATAGATCAAAAGAAAACAATAAATTTGAGAGTGATTTAAATTTGTGTTCAAATGCATCAAAATTATATTTTAGGTTAGATTAATAACTGGAAGGATTACATAGACAGACAACTATGATTAAACTTCATATAAAGAAGATAGTAATTATTTACATGTTTAAATTCGTTGTAATTAACTAATCAATTAATTAGTGTGAACAATAATCACTAAGTCATTGATAACATTAAAATTAACAATGGATTATACTTTATATAAAGATATTTGTTTGCATGTTTTAATTTTTTCACGACAATTCTTTACATGTCTAAATTCATTATGATTCATTATTTATATAATCCAGTTATCAACAAACCACTGATAACATTAAAATATTTTGATATGAATTCATCTCAACGGAATGATTATAATTCAGTCATTTATATAATCCAGTTATCAACAAACCACTGATAACAATAAAATATTTTGATATGAATTCATCTCAACCGAATGATTATGATTCATTCATTTATATAATCCAGTTATCAACAAATCACTGATAACATTAAAATATTTCGATATGAATTTATCCCAACGGAATGATTATGATTCATCCACTATCAACAAGCCACTGATAACGTTAAAATATTTCGATATGAATTTATCCCAACGGAATGATTATGATTCATTCATTATCAACACTGATAACATTAAAATATTTCGATATGAACTTATCTCAACGGAATGATTATGATTCATTCATTTATATAATCCAGTTATCAACAAACCACTGATAACATTAAAATATTTCGGTATGAACTTATCTCAACGGAATGATTATGACTCATTCAATGTTTCTTTTGTTTAATATTAATTTATAACTTATATATCTTATTTCAAAATAATGATTAATTTGAAGTAAAAATAAAAATGGAATGATAATATTTTCATTTTTTTAACTTTATCGTAGATAATATTATCATTATATTTGATCTCAAAATAATTTTTTCAAATAGAAACATTCAAATTTCAATTTCATAGTATATTTTATATATGTTATCGAAATTATATATGTTATTATAATTAATTGTAAATTATATTACTTACCATTTACCTTTTTATAGTTATTTTATTGAAATATCCTTATCATATCTGTGAACTTTAATAAGCTAATTCTTTTACAAATTTATTTTTGAATGAATTTGATTAGTTGATGATGTTGTTGGTAGATTGGATTGTTCCTGAGATGTTGAAGATTTGGATAAATGATGTTTTACTTGTACCGCTTCACCCACTGATGATGGTAATGCGCATCCTTTTGTTTCCGGTAGAATACATGTAAGACTTCCGGCAATTATGGCTATTAATCCAAAAACGATTGGCGGTAATAATGCGTGCAGTGAACTCTATAAAATTACAAATTAATATGAATAATTATAGTAATCTTGAGTGATTAAGATATGATATGATCATAGGAATTAAAATCTTGAATGATTAAGATATGATATGATCATAGCAAATTAAAATATTTCAATACTGGAATTTCGTAAAGAATAATTTCATAATAAAACGCATAACTATATTTAATAGAATTTTAATCATACTACAAAAAAATAGTATTTGATGAAAGCCGAATAAAATTATTAACTTTGATTGAAAGTGAAAATTTGTTTTCTTGTGAAATTTAAATTAAGAACAAAAAAAAATGAAAACTGTTTGAGCTTAATTATTTATGTTTTATTTTCTTTAAATAAAGATAAATAATAACGTAATATTTCGGTGAAAGGAAAAAGCTATAAAGATAACGTAGTGATTATTATTATCATTTAATGATTATATCATTTAAACAAATCTTAAAAGGAAAAGAAAGATTTTTAAATCCGATCTATATTTGATTTTTAAATTTAACCCATTCTTTACTGTAGTTTTTATTTTTAATTTTCTGAAAATAATGGAATGAAGAAATTTGAAAGAACGAACGGATACCAACCAAAAGGATAACATACGGTGCAATAACACCACCAAATCGTGCGATCACAGCACATAATCCTAAGCAAACATTACGCATTGTTGTAGGAAATATTTCACTTCCATAAACATAAATGCACATAAATGATAATGAAATTCCAAATTTGGATATTAGCCAACAGAAAGTTGAAAACCAAATATAACCTAAAAAGATTATAATATTTTGATTTGTTTGATAGCTTTTTATTTACACTAAATTAAATAATTAATGCAACAATTAAATTACGACGATACTAAAACAAATAACCAATGCATTATTTCCGCATTAAAGTAAATAATGCTTTTATCCTGTATCGAATTAAATAATCATTGATTTAACCTGAAGTAAATAATCAATATCTCAATTATACATGCATGTTTGCATTCAACTAAACAATCAATCAATTGATATAAATGAATAATTAATCCGATTCATTTATCAATTGTGATAACTGTTTATTTTGTATCATTTTATCGATCTAATTAATTGATTAAATTAAAATGAAATATTTCATCATGATAAAAATAACGATAAAAAATAATTTACCATTAGGCATAAATATAAGAATCAGTTGTAATATTCCAACTAAGAAATGCATGTACGATACGATTCGTTTACGTCCGAAACTAAAAATAATTTTTTTATTAATCGTTTTTCAAAATTTTAAAATCGAATACATATATTTGAAATTATTTAATACAGTTGTGGCATTTCTATTATATTACATTGCATATTTTACATGTTGTGGCTATTTCTGATGTAAAGAAATTATCGATTGTAATAATTCCATTTGGAAATAAGGCCAAAATATTTTATTACCAGCCTTATTAATGCCTAATTAGTTTGCATATGTAAATATCAATTTACAATATAACTGATTAAAGTAGTAAAATGAAAAAATAAGAAATTACTTATTAATAACATAGACTACAGCAAAATATGCTGGTAATTCGGCTAAACCTGATAATATATAATTCCAGTATTTATTTCCCGGTAAATGAATGCTAAAATTCGATAAGCCATAATAAAGGAATGTATCACTGGTCCTAAAAATTTAATTATTTTTGGAAATTTTTCAACAATTTCAACAATATAAACATTTGAAAAGCTAATCTTAAACTGTGGTAAATATAATTAATTTTTCATGTGTTGAAAATGCAACATAGAATAATTCTGAAATATATTATATATACTTATGAATATATTATTTATTATGATATCTTAAACATTGACAAATACTATTTTGCATTTTACGAATATTCGATTAGTATTTTAATATAATAAAATGAAAATGCTTACCAGAGAAAAATTAAGATTAATGTATAAATACAGAAAATCTTATGCTCCATTAATTGGTCAAATAATAGTGACCTGAAATTATCACTTACTTTAAATTATGATTATTTACATTATCGTCATTATCATCATCATCATCATCATCATCATTATCATCCATTTTATTATTATACAAATAATATTTCTCATATAGTTTATAAATTTTAGAGAGAAAAAGAAAGGAAAGAAATATTATGTAATCATTACTTTCTACCAGTATTACTATTTTATTAGCAGCAAAAATTTGTTGCAAATATTAAGTTTTAATTAAACAAATTTAAATATTAAATTCGAATTAAAAATATTTAAGAAGAAGAAAGTATGCTTTGAAATTTTTCTTCTCCGATCGTTCATAAATTATTTCATCCTTTGTTAAAATAAGTAAAACAATTATTAAACCTTAAATTCTTCGTCACTTCCTTTCCATTTTCATGTACCTTTACAACTAAATATGTATTCTCGAGTAGTTCCACCATCACATCAACATTTCTTTTATGTAAAACTTTTCCGTACTTTGCTGCATTCCGGATCCATTTTGCAGCTTTTTGATTTCGTCCATTAACTATCAAGAAATGTAAGCTTTCCGGAATAGTACTAAAATTGCTATTATTTATTTATTTATCAAAAATTTTCTTAAACTTAAATCATTTATGCATTGCTTTTTGAAAAAGAAAAGAAAATAACAAATGCTAAAAATATTAATTTCAAAAAATTAAAGTAAAAACAAAGGAATTCATGAAGTTTTTGTTCTTTTTAAGTTTTTTATAAAATTCTCTTTTAATTAAAAAGCTTTTTTTTAAGAAGAAAATTTAATCGAAAATTACTAACAAAAAATATATGATAGCGAGAATTATAGATGGTATCGAATATGCCAACATTTGCCATCGCCAATTAACAATGAAATAAACAAGTGGCGCTACCGCACAAAAACCAACTACCCACATAACACCATATATCAAAGTGACAAAACCTCGTAATCCAACTGGTACATTTTCATAGCCAAGTACCCAACCGACCAATAATGCACCCTAATATTAAAAATAGTAGTAAAAATAAAGAATTTCTTAGAAAACAGAAAGAATGATATTTATTGATTGATATTTGCTTAACTTTCGTGATATTTTCATTTTAAAATTTTCCTAATTTTCATTATTATTTTATTTTCTTGTACAAATTCATTTCTAGGCTTTACTATTTCAATTAATTATTTCATTGCATTAATTACTTTATATAATTTAAAATATTTTGAAAGCAAACCGGAGAACAAAAACCTTGTATCAAACGTCCAATAATAAAAGTAACAATACTTCCAGCTAAGCAAGTTAACATACTAACAATTCCAAGCAATAGTAGGCTGGAAATTAAGACTGGACGTCGTCCAATGCTTAAAAAACAAGTACTAAATATTATTTATTAAACAATAGTTAATTTTTGGAAATGAAAATAATAAAAAACACTTCGGAAAAAATCTTTATGCAAATTTTTTTTCCTTTGTTCTATATCAATTATACTATTATATTTTATTAAAAATGAAATTAAAATTAAATTTTTGATAATTACATTCTAAGTATTTCAATTTAAATGAATATGATACATATCGAAATTTTATTCTGCAAAAATACAACATACTTGTCTGACAAATATGTAAGTGAGCTACTACCGATCATATTTCCTAGCATAAATGCTGAACTTGTCCATTCTAGTAGATATCGCCGATTACCGCGTAAATTAAACTACAAATTTCAGATAAAGTATATGTATATAAATATTGAAATTTTAGATATGTACATTCGAAATGCTTATGCATATGTTTGTTTACCTGAAATGCTTATACATTCTTGTTTACTTCAAATTTGTTTACTTTATATATTTCAAACAATAATACAGGTAATGGGAAAAGAAAGATGTAAAATGTAAATGAATTTTGCAATATGATGAAATCATATCATTACTGTGATATTATAATAAAATGATAAACAATACCTCAGAGATTAGTGTTATTGAGTTTTCCACACATGCATTCATATTGTTTGCATTGGTAGCAAAATTTGTCGTATTTAAGCATTCATCATCAATAATAAATGTACCATGCATTACTGGCATTGAAGCTATTGCCCAATTAATTGATAATAAACTTGTAATCAATAAAATATATCGTTGACGATTACCTGTGAAATTTTATAAATATTATATAAGAGAAATTTATAAATATTCCATTTCATCTATTTGCTTTTTCCTCCCTTATCTTTCTTCTATTTTTATCATCGCTGAAAAAAACATGAAATTTTATCCTTATCAATTTTTAATCATTTAAAAAAATAAAATTGAATTATTTTATTTATTCATTTTTTAGAATTAATCATACAAATTTAATCAGCTGAAAAGAAAATCAATGATAAAAAATATTTATAATAATTTAAAAATTTAAATATAAAATTTACCAAATTGAGCGAGAACCTGATCAGCATTTTCAATTAATCCAAATGAATTGCTAACATTTTCCATCATTATCGTATTTCCTGAGCATTTAGTATAAGAATTAACATCTATTGATATCCTTTTACATGATAACACAGATTGATGATGATATTAATATTGCATTACAACTGCAGAAATATTTATTTCATTGATGTAGAAATTATTGCGGATTGGCAAAATGAACACGTACGTAACATTACGAAACATATTTACTAGAATGTATAATTTTATCCTATTTCATCTGAAGTATTGTTATCCATGTGATTATTGATTATCATTAGATATCAATAAATATTAATTACTTTTTAATACACAGAATAATCCTTTGATGGATCAATTTCATCGATATGATAAATAATATACATGTATAATTTAAATAGTTAATAATTTTAAAATATAATAATATATCGTATATACGTCTGTTTTCATTTTTAAATTAAAAAAGGGAAAGACAAAGTTTCTTTTTGCTTAATTTAAATGAAATAATATTTGACAATAATTTCATCATTTTTTTTAGCTAATTGGTTTTAATTATTTCCGAAAATTTATATCATTTGCTTAAAGGGAGAGAAAGAGAAAGAGGGAGAGAGAGAGAAAGAGAAAGAGAAAGAGAAAAGAGAGAAGAGAGAAAACTATTACTGAATAATATTTAAGTATTTATTGAAAAAGTATGAATTAAAAAGGATGAAAAGAGACAATTGAAAATTGTGAATAATAATTATTATTTAATACGTTGCATTCAAATTGCTAAAAAATTAAATTGAAATAATAAATTAGCATAAATTTATAATTATATGTTAATGATATTAAATAATCAATTATATTGTTTAATATTTTTAATTTAATTTTTTCAATAATAGTTTACTATTACGATAATGTTTTTGTTATGGAATAATCATATATTTTATTATTTTAAAATCTTAATTACCTCGATGATATTTTCCAAAGATTAGATTATTCTGATGAATAGCTGCCAGCGTAAAAAAAAATAAGGAGAAAAAAGTTTAATACTAGTTTAATGAATATAAAATTCAACACTGAAATCAACCAGTTTAATGAATATATTGTTGTATTTACATGTATAACCTGAAATACCGAATGAATGACTAATTAAGTGATAGGAATATCTCTCAATGATACCATCATTCTATTTCATCTACCATTCCGGAATGGATTATATCAGCATGTGAAGTTAGTTGTATCGTCACGTGAAATAGTTTAATCAACGATACATTCATTAAACTATAAATCATTACAGTGTAGGAAGTGAGTGAAGTTTTTTTTTTTAAAGGAATATTGCAAAATAAACAACCAGTAATTACCATATTATAAATTACCATATTATAATTACCATATACCATATTATTATTATTATTATTATTATTAATAGTAATAATGTTAAATAATAATAATGGTAACAAAACTCCTATATCACAATTTTGGCTTTTTTGAATTTGATATGATAAGGGCTTTGAAAATGATAATCCGTAAAATTTGTCATACGCTGTAAGAAATAAGCATTATAATTAAATCTTTGTTGTCTTTTGTTCTCCCTTTTATTCGTTTCTTTTTTGATTAATTTCATTTTTGTTTTTCAAATTTTAATATTGCTTACAACAACAACAGCAACAACAATGTTACTGCTACAATAACAACTATTATTACAATAGCAGTAACAATAAAAAGAACGCCATTAATTTCATGCGAAAAAGAATCTATTGAAAGGTAATTTTCCTCGAAGTCAAGAGAAGGAATGCACTTGTTTAAAAGATCGATCATAAATTGAGAAGTTTGTTTTTTCATCTTTTTCTTCAAACTAAATTGATTTTTCACTAACCGGAAAGTTTCACCTAAAATCAAATTATCAATCAACGACGATAAAATGGATCATCCATTTTCAGCACAGATTTCCTTTATATCAATAAATTTCGATCATTCATTTTCAGTACAGGTTTTCTTTATTCCAATAAATTTTGTTCATTCCTAAAGTTGTTTCAGCTTTATATACTTTTTCATCAATCAGAGAAAGAAAGAAGAAATAAAGAGAAAAGGAAAAAAAGATGGAATCCTTTCGATGATAGGAATTATTAAATCGTTATTAACAATCATGGTAGACGATAGGAACTATTAAGAAATATCATGATAGGCATTAGGAATTATTAAATCATTATCATAATCATAATATGCGATATTAGATCATTATCATGGTCATGATATGCGATATTAACCACTATCCTAATCATGATATGTGGTACTAAACCATTACTATAGTCATGATATGCGATATTAAACCATTATTGTAATCATAATATGCGATATTAAATCACTATCATAATCATGATATGCGATGTTATCATCATCATAATCATAATATGCGATATTAAATCATCATAATCATGACATGCTATATTAAACTATTATCATAATCATGATATGCGATATTAAATCGCTATCATAATAATCATGATATGCGATATTAAATTATGATATGCTAAAAATAGATAAAATATTTTAGTAATGTTACTAATTTATCGATAATCAATAATACTATGAAAAATCGTAAACGTTGTTGTTATTATGATTAGACCACCTTATTACGAAATTTTCGAAAATGATGCGAAAGAATTTATTCTCTCTCTTTCTTCTCTTCGTTTTTTTCTCTTCTTTTTCATCTTTCTTTTCCCCTCCCTTTCTCTCTCTTCCTTTCTCTCTTATTACATCACTAATATGCATCGATTTTAAAATGTAAACTTTGATGCGTCAATTTTTAAAATATTTGCAACAAAGTTGAAATATTAATTTATCAATATTCCTTAGTGATAATTTTATCAATTTATCAATATTTCTTAGTGATAATTTTACCAATCTATCAATATTCCTTAATGATAATTTTATCAATTTATCAATAATCCTTAGTGATAATTTTATCAATTTATCAATATTCCTTAATGATAATTTTATCAATTTATCAATATTCCTTGATGATAATTTTATCAATTTATCAATAATCCTTAGTGATAATTTTATCAATTTATCAATAATCCTTAGTGATAATTTTATCAATTTATCAATAATCCTTAGTGATAATTTTATCAATTTATCAATACTTTTCTAAGAGTTATTTTTTGAGTAATTTTTGTTAATTTGAAAATAATTTTAAAAGTTTTAATTTTATTAATTTATGAATAATTTTCGTAATTTCTTTTTACTATTGTTTTTCTAGATAATTTTTGATTTAAAAATTTATAGTTTAAAAATTGAAATTTTTTTTCATTAATTTCATTTCTTTTTAAATTTCCATTAATTTAAAATAACTATCAAAGCGACCTTTCGTAGGCCAAATATATTAATTATCGTAAAACAAAATAAAAATTATCGAATGGATGACGAAGGAACAAGACGATAACCATTATCATTGAAATAATTAAATTTAACATAAATTTTACATTCATAAGAATTAATGATTGTAAAAGATGAAAAGAGTATTATTCCGGATTATTCATGCCATATAATTAGATCCGGTTTATTTTTCAGTAACATTATTGCACAATTTTCATTGTTCAATAATGAAACGGTAATCGGATTATTCATTTACAAAAAGAAATAAATTATCGGTGGAATTATTTACGGAAAAACTTTCATTCTTATTTGTTGCATTTTATTAAATATTATGAAATCGAAAATTAAAAAGAAAATTTAATTAAATAATTAAAAAAGAAATTTAATTAATAAACAATTGAATTTTTAAAATTTATCAAATTTTCAACCTTTAATAATAATTATTGAAAAAAATTTATCGAAAAATAAAAAATAAAATAAGAAATTTAAGTTAAATTTAACGAAATTAAAATTGAAACAAAAGAAAATTTAATGTCTTAATGATATTTTGAGTGAATAATTATGAATGTGTGAATATTATCAATTTCATCAATTTTTATTTATTCAATTAATTTAATTTATAGAGGAAATAGAAATAATTGGAAAAATCTTCTCATAATAAATGATCGCAATTTCTTCTTTAATAACATCATAATTTCGGCATGTTCCTGTTGATTTCCGGTTACGGTAAACTTCAGCTTTTCAGTATTGCCAGCAATTTCGGATGACTTATACGAATTCTGTTTGATATTACTATCATAGGATGGAAGATGATTACATAACGTCGTATTATGATGTCCTTTACGTAAAATGCATGTGAAATCATAACGACATTTTCCCTCACATACGACATTATCGCGACGCATACTATTTCTGTAATTAAAAATTGAACGGAAGAAATAATTTAAAATTTAATTTCACTAACTTTTTTTTTAATTGTGAAATTGGTCGAAAAATTCAGTTGAAATTAATAAATTATGAAAAAGAGTGAAATTAGCAAAATTAACAAATTATAAAAGATGAATGAATTAAAATTAGCAAAAATTACGAAAGGTAAACAAATTACAAATGATAATATTAAATAAATGATAATATTAAACAAATGATAATATTAACTGATAATATCATACAAATGATAATATTAAAATTTTTATACAACGAAATTTTATTTTGAAATAACGAATAAATTACAGGTATACCTAAAAATAGAAGAATTAAATAAATTTGAATTAAAATAATTTTTTAAGTTTTATATTAATTAAATGAATTTGAATTAAAATTAAATAAATTTCAGTGCTCTATCACATGTACATTGGTAAATTCTAAAATGATGACATTATATTTCATTAAAAAAATAAATGCATGAATCATTCAGAATGATTGATTATTAGGTCGGTCGTTAATGATTAATAGTTTTGTAATAAATACGAACGTACCTGATAAATTTATCGTAGATTGACTTTTCGTAAACGATTTTGTTGATTAAAAGATCCCAGCTTGTTGGACTCAAATCATTTAAATTATATTCTTCCTAGAATTCAATCATCCTTAGATATAATATTAGATATAAGTAATTCTCATATAGTTTAATTTTAATTAAGAAATTAGAATTTTAATAGAAAAATAATTTTTCTTTATTAATATTTTACCTTTGCTGAATATAGCAATTCCCATGTTGGTGGTATTGTTGTATTTATTCCAATTTTTGTAAGATTTAGAAAATAAGTATGAAAGTTAATTACACGCTGAAAATATATGAAATTAATTAAATAATGATAGATAGGAGAAAATTTTTGCAAAATAAAAAATCAATAAATTAAAATTTGAAAAATTAGAAAAGCTTAAAAAAGAAACAAACATAATTATTGCCAGGTTCAATTTCATAAATTCGAAAAGCTGGATTAAGATATTTAAATGTTGTCACACTTGGTGTTGCATAAAGTACGCTAATTGGTTTTGTTGAATCATCATTCATATTTTCATAGAATACTGTAAAACTATCAATATGAATGTGACCAAAGAATTGTGCTTGAATCGTTTTTGAAAATCTGAAAATTGAAATGAAATCTAATTTAAACAATAAATGAGTTAAAACAAGAGATAATTATTAGAAGAGATTTAATAAGCAAACAAAATATATAAAATAATTGAATTGTAAAAAAATCAAAATAAACACATAAATAAATAAAATAAACTAAAAATTAGCTAAGACAAATAAATAATTATTAGCCAAAAAATAAATAAATAAATAATTGGCCAAAAAATAAATAAAGGAATAAACAAAACCTTGCTATAATTTTATAGTAATTTCTGGCCCAACTTTCCAGACATTCACCATCACCAGGTGGTATATGTGATAAAATATGCACATATTGACCATCATGTTCCGCTTGTTTAAGTTCCGCAACTAACCAACTTAAAGTGCCATCCGGATCCGTTTCATTAATGCGTAACCAACTAAATTAACTATTGTTTCGACAAAATTAATTAAAACCACTAAAAGTATTCAATAACTGGATGTAATAAATGATTAAATAATATCAAATATAATTATTACCATGATTTCATTAATAATTTTTTTATGATAATAATGATATTATTAATTATTATTATTATTCTGCAATCATAAATCACGAATTTTGGTAAGTGATCTCAATGATTTCAATGATAAACATTATAACATTTTATCATTACATCATTTAATGGATAATTGTTTTAATTTTGATCACACTTATATTTTTTTATCAGCATTATCATTATTATCATTTCACCATTATCACTAAATATAATCACACTTAATATGTTTAACAAAAAATAATGAATTATGCTTACAAGTTGGAAGTTTCGCAGTAAGCACTGTTCAATGATATAAGTCTTAGGCCTGGATGAAGTTGTACTGCGTAAGAACCGCGGCTAAAATTTAAAATTTTTCTAAACAAGAAAAAAAAAGTTAATTGTTTTAAAATTAAAACTTATTATTAAATATTTCTAAATTTAAAACTTACTATTTAACATCTTCAATTGATTTCATATCAAGAAGCGGCTTTTGCATATGTTCCAACTCATCGTACAGCCATTGTGAACGATACTTCTCCGGGATATAACGCGGTGCAAAACTGCATATTTATAATTTCATAATTTTTTTTTGAAATTAATTAAAACTATCATTTGTTTTTATTTTTATCTCTCTCCCTCTCTTTTTTCCACACTTCTAATTCATTTCTTTTATGCGTATTTTATGATAACGCTTAAATTCACCATTTGTTTTTATTTAGCTATGATTGATTATGAATGATATGAATGATATTTAGCTATAAATTATAATTATTAATAGAAAAGGAAATCCAGTAAGGAAAGATAGCAATATCGATTAAATTTCTTAATATTTCTATTACTTATTCTTGTATTAGCCATTTTAATACTTTTTAGGTATAAAAATTTTTTCTAAAAAAAGTAGCCAATGAAGAAAATAAAACCTATTAACGGGAACACCTTCATGATTACCCAATGTCCAATAGATTGGTGTATTCTCGAAGTAATTATGCAAAAGTGTCGAAAGATTTCGAATTATTTTCAAGTGATTTTCTTTGGTATATGCCCAATCCATATGTGATTCATAATCACCTCCGACCAATATATAATCAATCTGAAGTTTGCAAATAATTTAATCATTATTTATCATAACATCAAATTCATAGTAAATCGATAGCAAAATGAAACAATTATGATATTATAATAATAAAATAATAATAGTAATGATCCGCTACTTATTATATTATCAATTAAACATTGAATATTACCATCAGCTGTTAAATATCGCTATATCGATTAACGATTAATTATTAATAATAACTATTCAATTATTACGAAACTAATATCTATTAAATATTATTCTTAGGCAATTGATGTGATGCGAGAAAGTGGTAATTCAAAGAATGAAATCTTTTTTGTATATTTTAGTAAAACTTAAAATCTGATTAGGATGAAGGAAATGATAAAAGACAAAACGAAAATTAAAATATGTTAAACTTAGTTGGTCATAATTTATGAATGAATAATTTTATAATTACAAATTAGCAACAAATAAACAACCTTATCAAGTTTTTGAATATTTTGCAGCATATTTTCTATCGTTCGATAAGGCATATCGCATGCGGCAGATGTACCCCAGTAACCAGATGGCTGTCTTATTCTTGTTCCTGAAACGTATAATATATACTTTTAGCAATGAATAATTCATTCGTTTATGACTAGAAAAGAATAATATTTGAGAATAAACGGTAATCATTAAAATTATGATTGCCTTCTGAATAATTATCGATTATTTCATGATATTAATGAAATAATTTAACCGATAACTAATTTAGTTTCCTTCAATAAAATGGATATTTTAAATATTTGAAACAAAATTTTTAATTCGCTTAATTTCAAATTAAGTATTAATATAGAAATTACCATTTGATTCCGTTTCAATATGGCAACAAAGTTCACTGCTACAATTAGCTTCCGAACCTGCTGCATATTTTGGATCGAGATGTAAATCAGTAATATGTAATACACGCAAATTTTTCTCTCTTATAGCCGGATAAGTTGGATATTTTTGATCTAAATTATTTAAGGTAATAACAGGTTAATTATTCCTTTCATAAAATATTAATAGTTAAAAGTAACAAAATGATTATTACTCATCAAATTTTGATAATAATTTTAGGAGTTTTTAGAAATTTCAAGAAAACAAGCAGTTATATATCATATACATATAATTTACTTACATTATATATATATACATATTTTATTGATTGAATTTTTGAATTACAACCTGGCTGTTTTGGTGGCAATGCGATATTCCACAATGATGTATCCATTCTTGAATTTTTGCAATGTTTTATAAACATTGAGCATAATGCTTCAGGTTGTAGAATTAATTGATCAATAACATATAAGATTTCTTCCTAAAATTAAAAACAGAAATTGAAAAAAGATTTTTGTTCGTTTATAAAAATTTCCAAAATATGTCTTATAAAACTTATTTGAGTAATATTTTTATAGCAATAATTTTTAAATTAAATTAATTAAATTTAAAATATGCAAAGGAAGTAAGCAAGTAAATGTAAAATAAGGAATATATTTTTATACTAATATTATATTACTTAAAATAATCACAAATGATAATTGATAATTATTATACAATATTTATTAATACTCGTAAAATATGTACTCGACTTTTTTACTAATATTAAATTACTTAAAATAATCATAATGATTACTGATTATTATTATATAATATATATTAATACTCATAAAACTATGTATTCGACTTCTTTACTAGCATTAAATCATTTGAAATAATTACAATAATTGATAATTATTATATAACATTTATTAGTACTCATAAAATATATATTTGACTTTTACACTTATATTAAATTACTTAAAATAATCATAATGATAATTGATAAGTGTATTATTAATAAGCATAATTCGAATATAGAAAGAAAAGAAAGATGAAAATAATACCCGAAATTGTTTAGCTAAGCTACGACATAGCAATGATTCGTAATGCACAAAATATTGACAAATAAATGTTGCAATACCAATTAATGAATCGCGGGTCCGATTTTGTTCATATATTGATCGGTAAATTAATACAATTTGTAAGAAATATTTTTGGTGGTTTTTTTTTTAAATAAATTTATTAAAACTTTATTCCAATGTTTCATTATGCTAATTAATTAATGTTAAAATTTTCCTTCAAAATAACTTCTTTTTTTAATTATTAGAAATCGTTAATTGTTTCAATTCTTATTGTTTTTATACTTTATATAATTAATTTTCATTTCTTTTTCATTTTTCGATTTCATCAAAATTTTTACTTTTAAGAACTAATTAATAGTTTAAAAAATTCTTTTTATTAAATAAATTAATGAAAAAAGGTGAAAGGTGAAAGGTGAAATTATAATAGAAAATATAAATGAGATACCTGAAAAATATCACAGTCATTTTGCATGCTACACAAGTTACACCATTAGTATTTGATATACTCTCATTATCCGTCATAGCTTAAAACAAAATTAAGAATTTAAATATTTTTCTTTTTAAATAATTATCTAAATTAATTATTGATAATGAAATATTACAATACAATATAATAAAATATGCTAATTTCTTATTTCATTTCCAATATTATTTTATTTATCAGTAAAATTTCAAATAGAAACAAATATTAATATTAAAAATTCCTAATATTACTTTTTAGAAATCTATTAAAATGATAATAATAATTTAAAAAAAATTATAATCTTAAAAGAAATTAAAATGTTGGAAACATTAAAAAGATCCGCCGAATAAAAATTTAAAATTTTTTGAAATATTTTGAATAATTTCAAATTAGAAATAAATTATTCTTTTACAAATAAATCGTTTAGACTATTTACATCCATTGTTTTAATACTTAATTATAATTAGCTGAAACAAATAAAAAAAATTCAATATTCCAAAGAAAAAATGGTTAATGAAAATAAGCATATTCAAATTTAATGTGTTTCTTAAAATATCGAATTTTTTTTGTTTATTGATAAGGTTTATTTTGTTTAATGATAAGGTTTTTTTTAATGATAAGAATTCCTTTTTTTAAATGATAAGATTTTTATTTAATGGCCTAATGATAAGATTTCAAAAAAGAATTAATGATAAAAAGGAAAAGTTTTAGCAATCGTTTTATTTCCATCGTTTAGCAAAAGCATTTCGATTACTGATTTATGTACCGGAATTAAGAAAATGTGCGGTAAATTTGAGGAAATAAATAGCTGCACTAACCGGAATTGTCATCTGTTAATGACTGTTTGATGAGGAAAACAATAGCGATAACATGGAGAAGAATGAAATAATTAACGGTTCGTTGGAATACCATTTTGGCTAACTTAAAAATTATCCACGAAAAATTGAAAATACAGTAGTACCGTTGAAGAAATTGCAACCAAAATTTAATTCACTAAAATGAAAATTTAAAATGGAATGATTTTTTTTGTACACAAAATATTGGCTAATATATAATAAGCTAATATATAATAAGCGATAGAATAAATTTTGCAAAATTAATTTCTTAATTTTGCATAATTAAATAATTTTACATAATTAAATTAAAACGATAGAATAAATTTTGCAAAGTTAAATTCTTAATTTTGCATAATTAAATAATTTTACACAATTAAATTAAAGCGATAGAATAAATTCTGCAAAATTAAATTCCTAATTTTGCATAGTTAAATAATTTTCATAATCAAGTTAAAACAATCGAATAAATTTTGCAAAATTAAATTTTTAAATTATCATTTAATGAAAAGAATAAAAATGAATTCTAATGAAAGCAACAATTGATAAAATTGTATGATGAAGACAAAACAGAATTATTAGTGAAAAATTGATTCGTTCCTCAATTCTCTTCTTCATCTCCAATTGTTGCTACTGACAATATTACAACAGAATGTGTTGTTAGCATTACTCATTACTTCATTAATCGATGGAACGATAGATGGATGGATAGATAGATAGTTGGATAGATAGTTGAATAGATCAGATAGATGGATGACTTGATGTAATGGTGTGATATGACCGAAAAGCTTTCATAACAGTTGTTTCTATTTCTTCATTTCATTTCTTCTATTTTATCAATTCTACCAATCTCTTCAAATATATACCTTACATTATAATTAATGACTTAAGAAATTTAAACAATTATATAATTAAAATAAGCTAATGAAATAAATTATAAATTTAAATTGAATATCGCCAAAGAAAAGGCATAAATAATTGAAATATGTAATTTATGCATACATTAAAATATTGCTTACAAAAAAGCATACTGTAAATAAGACATTTTACGTACAAAATATATACAGAATGTATGAATGAAATATTTTTTAACAAATTTAATTTTTTAAAATAATTAGCATATTTCGAAATAAATTTCTAAGTTAAAAATTTTGAGTGGTCCTTGGGGCCTTCTTAGCTCAGTTGGTAGAGCATCAGACTTTTAATCTGAGGGTCGTGGGTTCGAGTCCCACAGAGGGCGCGTACCCTTTTTCTCTTCGGTTCTTTCTTTCATACTTTAGGAGATTTCAATGAATAATACTGATCAGTTGATTGATTATCATTCTAGTATTACTATCGTTACTATTAACAGTAAAATATTTTTCATTACGACTGCAATTATCACTTCTTTTACCACATTCATATGTTATTATAGTTACAGTAGTAATTATTATTATCATTATTATTTTCGTTATCTTATCATTAATACTTCATTAAGTTTTGTGAATTTTCATTTATCAATAAAGCTAAGATGAGAAAATTGATTAAAAATGAAGCTAAGTGTAAGAATCAGTGATAATTTGATAAATGATAATTTGATAAATGAAGCAATAAAATAAATCCCACCTGTGCAACTATAAGATATACATTCAATGAAACAAAGAAGATCAATTAATAAATATTTAGCAAAATTAACAACTCTCATCGTAAAGTGAAAATTTTAAATCAAACAAGAAGTTGTAAATTTATTAACTAATGAAATTACAACATTACAATTAATGAATTTAAAATTAGAAATTAATAATAATCCGATTGGTAGTTGAAGATAATCTTGCTAATTAAAAAAAATTAATATAAACAAGGTTAAAGGGTAAAAAAAATGATTCAAAAGTAAAATAATAATTTTAATAAATAATATTGCTCTCTTTTTAAATTTTGCACAAAATAAGGAATTATAATATCTGATAATATTGGTGATAAGAAGCGGCAATTAACAACAATTAATGATATCGTATCAGTTTGATTTTGATAAACATATTTATAATATAAATATATAATATAGTTTAAAGTAATTATATGCGATATTTGTTAAAGAACGAAATTTACATTTTTCATAAAAATATTTGTCAAATTTTTTTTAATAAAAAAATGGTTGCAAAATTTGTTAAAAACAAAAGTTTAAATTTTGGTTGCTTTTTGCATTATTGTTTTTTGGGAATTATTTGTTGCTATTTGATAGCAACAAAAAATTTTTGGAAAGTTAAGATTATTTGTTAAGACAAATTACTTTAGCTTATTTCCTTTGGGATAATGAAATAACGAACAGCTGTGAATTATCATCGATTCAATTTCATTTAACACAGAAACAGTACTTATTAATTAGTTTCATCGTTGTCAATTATTTATAATAATATATAAATAAATAGTCTCAATTTGTAATGAAAATAATTGTTAACAGTTTCAAATTTATGAATGAATTAACTGATAGAATTTAATTTATCTCATTTGATTTAATCTATCGATTTAATTTATCAGCTTTCCTAAAATTTATAATATTTAATCGCTACTTCAAAATCACAAATATTATTATGATATAAAATAATATCTAAATTACAGATTTTAGTTAATTTCTAATTTTAGTTAATTTAAAGATGAGAATGGTTTTGCTGATTTTAGTTAATTTAAAGATGAGAATGATTTTGCTTACCTGATATAATTATCATTAACTAATTACTATATATCTCTGAAGATTAGTCTTCCAGAATCGCTATCTTCATATCAAACACTATCATAATATATTATATCTCCCAGAATTAACAATCGATTTATCATCAATTGCTTGCTTCTTCAATATTGGAAAATTGAAATAAACAAAATTGATGGCATAGTATGTTTACAGTTTTCTCTTAAAATTATATTATATATAGTAAATATATAATCTTTCATTAGTTCATTAAATTTCATTATTTCATTATATATATATATGTAATGTAATGTATGTTGCATGTGTGTGTGTGTGTGTGTCTGTCTGTCTCCCTGTCTGCAAGGTTGCAGTGCTATTGTTATCATTATTATCACTAGCATTATGAACAACCAATAATGCTATCAAATTGTGATCAGCTATTGACCGACCAACCTTTCCCTTTTCCCACCCTTTTTTTCCCTTTTTTCTTTTTCTCTCTCTCTCTCTTTCGTTCTCTCTCTCTATTTCATTTCTCTTAACTATTCAAAAAGATCCTCCAGAAAAGAAATGGAGGGAGAGAGGCAAATCCATTCTTCCATCTGAGCTTCTTTAAGAGATGGTAACGACTATCAGAGGTCACAATATCATCACAGCGATGCTCACAACTTCTCTACCCATCCTTCTTATAATTATTGCTTTATGCAATAAAATTGTTACTGCCACCGAAGAAGGTCATCTCACAAGGTTATTTAATTAATTAATTCTTTCTTTTATTTCATTTTATCATTTCAAAAATTAAAAAAATATTTCACAATAACTTATTTATATTTCATTTTTTTAATTTTAATGTTTTGTTTTTGATTTTTAATTTTATTGTTTTAAGAAAGAAATTTTAATTAAAACTTTTCGGATAACATAACATTCCTATCTTTGATGAAATTAGAATACTTTTTTTGTTGTGTACTGATCGTGAAGTTATTAGCTTATGCTTATTGTAATAACTGCTCTAATCAATATTATACGATATAAATAAATAGGAAAATGAACTTAATTATTCAGTGAAGTGTAAATAATTCATTAATTGAAATAGGTAACAAAAGGTAAAACGAAATATATTGTTCGTTAAACTTTCCTTTCTATTATATCAAATACAATTTATAAATATTTGTAACAAATAATTTCGTCGACTAAATGATCCAAAAACGTTTTTTTCTTGAAAAACCGGAAGGAAAATTCAAGGCAAAAAAACCTGAACTGATTTTAAGAATTTTAGAAAATAACGGAAACTGGACAGCAGGTTTACTTATATTAGGTCAATGTATAATAAATATTTAATTCGATAAATTGATTATATTCAACTCTTCCGGAATGGATGACATTCAACTTATACAAACAGAAGTTCACGTTTTTTTCTTTGTCAAAATTTTCTTTAGTTTTTTTAAAAAGTTTTTTACGATCTCTTTTCGAAATACTTTTCATTTGTTATTACGAAATTATTTATTGCAAAAGATCACTATTCAAAAATACGTTAATCGATGTCAGAATCAGAAAGCGTAATTCAGGATAACGCTGCGTAAACAGGATTCGATTCGTACAAAACTTATACAAACTGATTCATGGGAAGCATACAGCGAATTGGTCAATTTTCAAATTCAACGGAAAAAGATTCAGTATAAAATCGGACTTGATACCGATTCTGCTTTCGAGCTAAATACAATGGGTGAAACTGATGAAGTGCTTAAAAATTATATGGATGTAAGTGATATATTAGCATGATATTTTCGTAGAGAAAAATTTACAAATTTAATTTGATCTATGAATTTGTTGATTATTCAAATTTAAATCTTTTGAAAATATAATATCAAAGCTGTTGATTTAAATCTTTGGTTGCATGCAAATAAAACAAATATATAAAAATTTAATTTATTAATTAATTTTAAAACGAAGCTAATTTTATAGGCTCAGTATTATGGTGAAATTTCAATCGGTACACCACCTCAGAATTTTAGCGTTGTTTTCGATACCGGTTCATCGAATCTTTGGGTACCTTCCGTAAAATGTCCCTATTTCGATGTTGCATGTTGTAAGTTTCATTTCAATTCATACCTGAATTTGCTTAGTAAAAATGCATAAAATAATAAAACTTTTCATTTTAATTAATAAAATTCAACGATAAAATTTAATTAATATTATTTCGATTATTAATAATATTTTATTTCGTTTAGTTAAATTTAAATGGAAATATTACTGTTATCGTAATATCCAGAATTTTGTATATAAGGTTAAATTGATTACAGAAAAAGCAACCTATTTGTGTTTATCTTTTTTCATTTCCTTTGTAGTGTTGCACAACAAATACAAAGGAACAGAATCGTCAACATATAAACCGGACGGTAGAAAAATACAAATTCAATACGGAAGAGGTTCAATGAAAGGGTTCATTTCAACAGATACCGTCTGTGTATGTATAACATATATTATAGGTTGTTAATAGGAATTTAATTACTCACATAGCTTTTTTCTTATATTCGATATTAATTTATTCTTTAATTAAATTTATACTTTAAATATGACATTTTATTTTTTTAAATACATTCTTCTTATTTTAAATTCTTAGGATGTCTTTTTTCTTTTTTACTTATTCATTTTGTATTTTATATAAAATTTGTTTAATTAAGACGAAAAAAGAGAACGATTTTAGATTGCCAATATTTGTGTTACGGAGCAACCTTTTGCTGAAGCAACTTCAGAACCGGGTGTAACATTTGTTGTAGCTAAATTTGACGGTATTTTGGGTATGGCATTTCCGGAAATTTCGGTTCTTGGTTTAAGTCCGGTATTCAATACAATGATTAGCCAGAAAGTTGTCCGAGAGCCAGTATTTGCTTTTTGGCTTGCTAGGTTATTTGAATTTGCTGTTTTTCTCTGTAAATTTTCTTTTTAAATTAAATTGTCAAAATTTTATAAATGTTAGCATATTATTTACGTAAGCATTTCGAATTTTTCTTTCTTCTTTCATATATTTTATCCTACTAAAAAATTTTTCGGCTTACTTTTCATTTATCATTTTAAAATGTCATTGTATTGTTTCCTTATTATTATTAAAATATTCCTAGAAATCCGAATGAAGAAATTGGTGGTGAAATTACATTCGGTGGTATTGATGAAAATAGATTTGTATCACCAATCACATACACACCAGTATCAAGTCATGGATACTGGCAATTTCAAATGGATAAGATACAGGGTGAAGGCAAAACAGTTGGATGTGCTAAAGGATGTCAGGTTTGTCTGATAATCTAATTTTCATTTTCTTTTTGCTGGTGTAAAGGATTTATTAAATATTACTAAACATTAGTAACATTTCCAACACTTCGATGAGTCATTTTCATAAAATAAATAAAAAAACATATTAATCACTTCGATGTTATTGCATTATAAATTAGTAATGAAATATATCGATTATAGCATCGATTAAACTATATCGATTAAACTTAAATCAAAATTCAAAATCATTTTTCATTCTACACAGAATCTATGGCTTTTTTCCATCATTTATGTGTAATGCATTTTTTTGATTTTATTTAAATTGTTGCAAAAAAAAGAAAACAAAGATAACTGATAATTTGTTGATAATTTGAATATGATAAAATAAACATTTTCTAATTGAGCGATTTAACTGTCATTCAGTTTTCAACAATAATATAATTTCATTTTATAAGTAATACAATTTTTGGATGTTTATATTTGCTTAAATTGCATAATAATAATTTCGAAATTAATCATTTCGATGTTATTGCATTATAAATTAGATAATTAATTAATTATTCGTACTAAAAGAAATAATTTATTTTTCACGTCAAATAAAAAAAAATGACAATATGCTGGTTTCAGGCTATAGCAGATACAGGGACAAGTTTAATTGCTGGTCCAAAAAGTCAAATTGATGCTATTCAAAAATACATTGGTGCAGAATATGTCTATGCTGGTGAATATATCATACCATGTTATAAAGTACCATCTCTACCCGAAATTACATTTGTTATTGCTGGCAAAAGTTATACTCTAAAAGGAACAGATTATGTTTTGAATGTAAGTTTAACATTTTTTTTTTCAACTGATTCTTCTATAAAATATGAAAAATAAAACTGTTTAAAATGAAATTTAACTTTTACGGAAAATTTTCAATTATAATCAAAATTAGGTTTTGTTTTTTCTGAAAACAAAAAAAGTTTCCTTTTTAATTTTGTATTTTTTTGTTGAATTTTTACAATCAAATGAATTTTTTAAATATTTGAAGGTGACATCAAAGGGTAAATCGATTTGCCTTTCCGGTTTCATGGGTATTGATTTGCCGGAACGAGTGGGAGAATTATGGATTCTTGGTGATGTATTCATTGGGCGTTATTACACCGTATTCGATGTAGGAAAATCTCAGATAGGCTTTGCACAAGCTCGTGATAGTAAAGGCAAACCAATTGGAAAACGAGTGCAAACATTTGTATCACAGGAATACGAACAACAAAAATTCGATGAGAGAGAAGGAAAGAAATTGGATGAAATGATAAATTAATAATCGCACATTTGCAAAATATCAAAATTATATTTAAATCGACTAATTTATTTGAGAAACATTTTTTCAAAGCAAAAAAAACAATACAAATTATTAAACAAATATGTACTACTTATTGAAGATAATATAATTTCTTATCTTTTATTAACACATCATTTTGGTATTCTTGCATTTGTAATATTTATGTTATGATTAAATGACAAGATAATTGATGAAATAATTGCATTGTTAATTGCTAATAAATCATCGATTAATTAATTAATTTTTATCATTTATATCAGATTATCAGCAAATGTTAAAACTTTCTCATTCAATTAATTTATGTATAAATGCTAATTTATAAATATATAGCTTTTTCGGCATAAAAAAAAAAACAAACGAATAATTTGGAAAACGGTAAAAAATGAAGAGGAGAAATCAATTTGTGACAGAAAAACATTTGCGTATTATTTGATTAGTATTTGAAATATTCCCAAATATGACTAAATAAATGGAATGACTGCTTTCATTATCTACTAATAAATGCAAATCAATTATTATCAAACTGTTAAGAATGCAAATATTTTGTTTCCCATTGAATTGTTATCAGATTTTTGATTAGTGCAGATATTTTGTTTCCCATTTCATCGTTATCCGATTATCAACGAATGCAGCAATTTGATTCACTATTTAGCTGTTATCAGATTAACAACGAATGTAGAAATATGATTCATTATTTAGCTATTATCAGATTATCAACGAATGAAGAAATATGATTGATTATTTAGCTATTATCAGATTATCAACGAATGAAGAAATATGATTCATTATTTAGCTATTATCAGATTATCAACGAATTTGATTCACTATTTAGCTATTATCAGGTTATCAATGGATTTGATTCATCATTTAACTGACTATTAATTAGATCATCAATCAATGCACATCTAATTAATGAACGCAATTGTTAAAATTTTCGAAATGATTTCTATAAAATGTTTCATTTATTTTTGAAGAAATTTAATTGCCAATTAAGCAATCATAATTTCGATAATAAGTTTAATTAAATTTGTTACAAAGAAAATTCTTTTTCGCTATTTCTTTATTTGTTTGTTGAAATGGTAATTCATTCACCTAAAGGATAATACTATCGGACTGAAATAGAAATAAAACTTTCCATTTTATCCTAATAAATTCATATTCATTTCTATTTCTAATCAAAACCGAAACTTTTCATTCGTCCACTTTTCGTAAATTTTCTTGTTTCACTTTTTTTAATTTTACATAAATTTCCCAAAATGTATAACAAATTATGTCAATTTAAAATGCAATTCATTAAGACTTAAATTATTGTTTTATTAATTTAATTAGGTAGCCTTTAATTAAACAAACAATCATTTTAAACTAAAATGACAATCATTTTAGTTCAATTTTCGTTTTGTTAATCATTTTCTAATTTTAATAAATTTGAAAATTGCCATTGTTGAAAATATAAAATGTCATATTTATCACTTCCATTAATGAATATAAATTTCAGATCGTAGAAAAATCATTAAATATCATTTTTTTAATTTTTGACTTTGTTTTTTGAAAATGAATCAAAAATTGAAAATTATTATAATGTAACTTATTACTTAATAATTTCATTATTACAGTATAAGATCCTCCTAATTTCGTTATATTTAATTCCAAACATATTTGTAATTAAAAGTTATTCCCTAATTAGCAAAATAAATTTATCATAATTATATTACTAAGCTAACTTAAGCCGTTTTAATTAAAGCCATTTATTTACCAAAATATTCCAATTCATATTTTATTTGATTGTTGAATACTATCCTTTTAGAGCGTGACTTGATGAAAATCTGCAAGAAATGATAAACAATGTGATAATCGTTTTAAAAAATTATCATTTTAAATTTATAAACGTGAAAAAAATCGTCCAATACCAAAACATATCATTCTTGCGAAGCATTCATACGGCATGCACGTACAACTTTTAGTGAGTTAAAGTTGCGGCCTCAACCAAACAATGGCATGCACGTACAACTTTCATTGAGTTAATGCTGCGGTTTCAACCAAACATACGGCATGCACGTACGACTTTCACTGAATTGTAGTTGCGGCCTCAACCAAACATATGGCATGCACGTACAACTTTTACTGAATTGTAGTTGCGGCCTCAACCAAACAGATACGCAAAGAAGATAATACTATTCTTATGATATTCCTTAATGTTAAAATATTAATGTATTAATGCTGAAAAAAAATTGTTTATCACAAATTATTAGTCAAACGTTTGCCATAATTTCTTTGTAATTTAATTTGATATGTTTTGTTTAATATCTCAATTTATTCTTCTAAAGAATACTGTAAATGATTACCCTCAAATAATTCTCTTTTACCATCGGTTTTATGTTCAAGCAATCCGTTTTTAACCGTTCATCCGTCTATTTGCTCTTTTCCCCTTACCCAACTGGAAAGAAGCACATTCCAGTGTGACTTACTGTCTGAAGCAAAGCGGTCTTATCATCTACACTCGTCTGAATCACTGCTACCTCAACAGACACTCCCGAGTTATCCAAGTGATCAAATCAATTGACGATGTTTTCTGTTAATTTTAACGTGAATAAACCTCTCCATTAGCCTTCATTGCTATCGACCGTATCACAGAAAGCTCTCCCAAAATAAAACAAAAAAATTAAAAAGTTCAAAATACGATTTCATAATAGAAGAAATGCATACTAACTCGTTCCTTGTAATTGTGTAAAAGTCCGTCAGTGGTGTTCGTAGTCGCTCTCCAAATTAATCCGACAAACCTTCAATTGATGGTAAGTTGAAGGTTGCCGGAATGCGCGACTGCATTGTTGTTAGTGGCAACGCCGTTCTCAACCGTCTAAAGCAATAAGACAAGCAAAATTTCTGAAAAATTCATTGTATTAAAAAGCAGTGAAAATTTTTAGCATTTCAGCATCTTACATCCTAACATTAAAGTACACGGATGATAAAATAGGACTGCAAAACTTACAGTATCAGCTCTTAGAAAACCGGTACAACCCCTCCACTCTTTCCGTCAGCTTCAGAAATCAGCATCTCATCATCTTCTCTTATCTCCTTTCATGAGTCACTTCAAAATCATCTCTCATTCCTATAAAAGGTTACCATTAACGATCTTTTTCATTGGAAAATGGTGGATCTTTCATCATTGTCACATCCTCATTCTCGTTGACCACTTGCCATTGTCCTTGAATGGCTAAATAACCGCTATGTTGCAAAATCGCTTCTTGCACAACCTTTTCAATGGAACAATGCCATGCATGGTACTAACCTCCTGAAACAATTAAAACCACTGACAATTTCAATAAAAGGTGGTACTAAGACTCTGAAGGAAGACGTAAACTATCTACGATAAATAATAAAAATGTAGGGCGAATCAACAAATAATCGACATCCCATTATAATCTTCGATAAGTAAAAAAACATTTATACTAGTACCAATCACAAATTTGATATCAGTGAAATGCAAATCTAATGAGATATTGAAATGAAAAAACAACCGGACGATATCAGTAATATAAAAAGGAAGCAATAAGAAGAGACTGATAAAATTCCCAAATATATTATTTCCACCACATTCAATTGATATTCCAAACTTTTGCTCATAACTTTCAAATGTCAACGTACCACAAATATACCCTTAAGTAAGTAATTATGGGATCTTTTAATTCTTCTACAGAATACGGAGGCTTCATTTCTCGAAGTTCTTTTACATTTCTTTATTATTAAACATTTTTTTATCATTTCCAATTAATTCTGCACGTATCCGAAATTTGATCCCATTACTGACCAAATATTGACCTTAATATAGAAGGATATGAAAAGAAGAAAAAATTTCCTCTTCCTTTTATTTTACTGAGGAATATTCAACGATATAAAAAAACAAAAACAAAAAATGTTATCGTTAAATTAAATTAATTACTGATAATGAATTAAATGAATTACATGAATAAATGAATTAAATGAATTACTGATAAATTAACTTTTCATTTCTAATTTAGGAAATTTCCGACTTCTTTTATTAATTATTTACTTTTTCTTCCTATATTTCTTCATATTTCCTTCTTGAATTTCTTGTCATTTTTTATTGAATTATTTATTAAATTTATTTATTTATTTTAAACAAACATTTCACTTTTTTTTTAATCTGAAAATATTATTTGAATCTTTTAAATTACCAACTGACAATAAGTTTTATCAAAACAAATATGTTATATATTATATAAATGTTATATATTATATTATATAAAATGTTATATATTATAAATTTAGGTGATTTTTGTAATTTAGAAATGCTTCAACATATTATTATTATTATTACTATTATGAAATGATATTATAAATTATACCATTAATCTTTAAGTAACATTTAGTGCAAAAATGAATTGTACTGATAAACGAAAGATAACACAGATATCATTAAATCATACATCTCTATGATTGATTTAGTAAGAAAATATTGCTTAAATAAATAATGCTTTAAAAGAGATATCAAGAGAAATTAGCATATATCAATTTTAATGGATAAAGAATGAAAAGAAATTGAAGTATGAAATAAAAGCTTTGGCAAATTTTACCTAAATTAAATTTATAACAATTGAATGAATTTCAGAAAGATATTCAAATAAAACTTTTTCCTGCAAATTTCTTTATAAATCTTTGTGTGATTTTCATTGTGATATGCAAAAGCATTATCAATTGGGTTATTTAGAAAGAAATATAATAAGTTAATCAGTAATTCATTTAGCTATCATTGCTAAGATTTATCACAATTATAATTAGTATGTTGTAATTAATAAATGTATAGCATAAATATAATTTGATGCATTTTCAAGACATTTTAATATGAATATCGAAAAATATTATTTGGGAAATATTTTCACTAACAAAAAAAAGGAAATTATGCTAATTCTTTTATGCAATTTATAATTAAATATATTTCCAATATATTCCATTATTCAATTACATAATTTCCATTATATAATTTATAATTTAAATTTTTCATTAATTATCGTAATTTTTGTCTTTCAACTTTCTCATTCATTTATACTTCTAATCCTTTGAGATTCTTTAGCTTAACCCTTTTAACCTGACCCCTTAACCCTTTCTCATTTAACAAAAACAGAACTTTCACCATTTCGCATATTTTAATTATTTATATTCTGAAATTTAAATGAAATTTTTTCAGTGATTAATTTCAAAATTATTTTTGATTAAGTAACCCAACTCTTCTCATCCATTCATTTAACTTTCAAACTAATTAATTAAAATATTTTAATTCTTATCATTTATATCTTTACTTTAAGAAGGAGTATAAAAAAAAACGAAATATTCACGAAATATTATGAAAGATTATTATCAAAAATGAATTTTTGATATTTCTCCTTCTCATTTGTTATTTTCTGATAGTAATCTCTAAATTGTTGAAAATTGTTGGAGGAAAAGAGAGGGATCGATCCATCCATCTATCCATCCATCGATCCATCGATCCATCCATTCAGAAACTATGACAATCAATAATTAATTTCGTAAATTCATTCAAAATTATTCACTAAAAACGAAAAAAATATTTTGAAAAATTTAATAGATATTTATATCTTTTATTTCTTTCAAAAAAGATGGAAAGAAAGGAAAGCGATAGTGTTTGGTAAATTTTTAAATAAAAATGGAACAACAACGAGGCAATGAGGTATATTTATTTGATTGAATGCATTTGGGCATTTATTTATTAGAGGTAGACATATGAATGGATCGATGAATGGATCGATGGGTGGATCGATGGGTCGATAGATCGGATCGATGGATGGATCGATGGATCGATGGATGGATCGATGGATCGATGGATATATTTCTGTCAACAAATAAATCGAAATTTTCTTTTTTTCAAATGAAAAGCTTTTTCTTTTTATTTTAGAAAAAGAAATTTCGATTTATTAAAAATTCGATAGTTTTCTTTCATTTTCAAATAAATTAGCGAAATGTTGAAAAGATGAAATAATTTCAAAAAAATTAAATAATTCTATATTCAACTCTTTTTTCAATCAATTTAATAGATATACATATAATTGATGTAATAAATCTCTTTGGTACTCTTCAACAAACGAAATTTATAGGATATCATAAACTTTGCATAAAAGGCGAAAAAGAAATGAAAATTTTATAAATTAATCGATCTTCTAGCATTATCCAATTTTTGATTGAATTAAATATGATCGGTTGAATTTTTGAAGGAAAAAATAAAAAGATTATTCATACATTGTATGATATACAATGAATGGTTCGACCTATTTTAGGCATTTCAAAATTTCCAATATGAGGGCAAAAAAATGCTATCTGATTTTTGGAGAACTCAAATTCAGATGGCATTTAAATTATTTACGTAAATTTCAAAAAAGTTCACCTGTTAAAGATAGTTCGTCGATTGCAATTTGGTAAAAAATGACCTTTTAAATAAAAAAATGACCTTTTAAATTTTGTCATTTTTTATCAGAAATTATTGCATAAATTTGAAACAACTGATGGATTCAATAAATCATTTCTTAAATATTGAAAATATCATTGTGAAATAATTTCATGTAAATTTTATTTAGAATTTAAATTGAAATTACAGCAAATTAGCAATGACTTTTAGGGCCTATGAAGGCATTAATAGTACCTATCAAAAATTAATTTTTTTTTTTGCTAACAAAAAGTTTTTTGAATTTTGACATTATCATATTGTATTTTAAGAAATAAAATCTAATTTGCTTTCTGAGCAATCAAAAAATTTCATTTGAAAATTCATAAAATAAATTGCCACGAAATTTTCACTTTCTTTTTGCAATGAATTTTCTTAGGCCAATTATTTCAGCTTCCAATTTCCTAAATTATATAATAAGCATAAATTTAATTGTTTAATTTCATTTAAGGAATGAATTATTGGAAAAAATGAAATAGCTTATAAAAAAACAAATTTTACTATATTTTATGATAAATGATAAATTTATTCATATCTGAAATGTAAACATAACAATACAATTGAAGATAAAAAATGATATGAAATAATTGTGATATTTGAAAGTGTTAACTGTTAAGGAATGTTGAATTTCGACGTTGTGTTGAATTAATAATCAACTACTGTATTGTTAAAAAAAAAATAAAAAATGATTTTAGTATTTTGAATGAATTTAAATATAATAAATATTTATTAGATTTCTACTAATATGATTTTAATCCATTCTTTTGTTACGATTGCTAAATGTCGAAAATTGAAGTGTGAAGGAACGATTGTCATTAGGACATATAGCAAACGAGTGATAGGATAGAATGAAACCAGTTATTTGGATTGAGGACAACTGGATACATACCTGTGTAAGCACATTTCAATCATCTAAAATACCCGTTAAACTTATCCTTTCCGAATTTTTACTCTAAAAATTACTTCCTTTCTTTCGTATTACCATTTATCTATCCTATTTCTCTCTTTTCCTCATCTTTTTCATTCTTTGAAAGATTTTTAAATTTGCAACTTTTTAAAGGATATTGAAATTACTAATTAAAAAATAGCTATTACAAAGTATATTTTGAAAAGAGTGGAAATGCAACGAAAATAAAAACAATGAGAAAAAGTTAGCTTAAAATCAAATAAATGATATCATATCGAGTGATATGATATTTATGATTAGCCATTTAATATACATTTATTTCATCTCATAATTTTTTGATCATATTCAGATGACAGTATGAAATAAAACAAAGATACTTGACCGTTTCAATTATAATTTTTTGGAAAAGAAAGATTTATGATTGCCTCAAATTAGTGATATGTTCATTCATGCAATAATTTCAATTATTTTTCTCGTTCACTCTCATTATTCGTGTTTTATCATAATTTTCATTATCATTATTATTTATTATTACTATTATTATTTATTGATATCATTATTCATTATTAGTTATTAATTATTATTATCTATTATTATAGTTATTATTATATATTGTTAATATTATTATTATTATCATCATTGAAAGAAGTAATGAAATAATCAAATACATTGGATAATAGTAAGAGTAACTGTAAGAGCAAATGTTATCAAATTTTGTCAATTTTGCAAAATTTCTATTCCTTTTGCTCTTACGTCTTACCGCTATCGCAGATCGATAGGCGGAGCGGAGACAATAAATAGAAGAATTACTAAGAAATACCTAAATTGTTCATTTCGTTTCGTTTCGTCGTAATCGCATGCCATTCCTTTTACCATTCCCTATCGCACCTATCCAGATCATCTATCCAGTCCAGCCACATTTACCATACATCTGAAAAATCTATTCATCCGCATCACTATTTTAATCATCACATCATCATTATCACCAGCATTATCAACATCGTAAAATCAACATTATCATCAATATTACAACATATTTGCTGCTATCAAAAATTTTTACCGAAGCTATATTTTGGCATTTTAAACAACTTTTCTATCATTTTACTCGTACTTACTATGACAATTTTATTTTCACTTTTAAAATTTCTTCCCAATTCTTTCATTAATCTTTACTACTAATTAGTATTGTTATTGCTATTATTAATTAATTACAATTTTTGAAATTTACTTATTTTTCTGATTTTTTTCCGTCACAAGAAATACGATTATTTTCCTGATAATTTTACTACAAGGCTTCTTATAGGCTTCCTTCTTCTACGCTAATTTTACATTATTGACACAATCGTTATTATTATCAATTACGATTATTATTACATTTATAATTAATATCATCACTTTGTTTCACAGCTATTATCAACATCTAAGTTTCTAAAAAACAAAAAAAAACTTCTTCTGCATTTACAATCACTGAAATTAATCATATTACCAATATCCTCCTTATCAGCAGCATTATCAATATCATCTAACGATTGAAATAACGACACAGAAAAGATCGAAACGGAGTTCATTCCTTTTGGCTCATTTATTTTCTTTCATATTCATATTTATTAATTTAAAAGTGCGTTTTATTCGAGGTGTCATTCTTATCCTTATCAGTGCTACTGTTCGAATCGTTATGCAAATGAACTTTTATTGTTGTTAGAGAAAGAGTTTGTAATTTTACAAAAAAAAAGAAAAAGGAAAAAGAAAGGAAAAAACATAAAACACACGACGACAACAGCAACACATAATTTAACGAACCGTCTTTTTGCTGGTGTTCCGTTTATGCGATCGTGTAAGACGGTGGCATTACGGGGAACATGTGCTATGTTCGGCAACCGTTGCTGTTCCTTGCTTCATCATCATCGTTTACTCCCGATGGAATTAACATCACTCGTACCTTCAACTCTAATTATTTTAATAACTGTCATCATTGGTACTCAGGTGGAGGCTATACAATTTGCCGATCCATTTCCATCATCACCATTCTCTACGATAATATCTTCAAGCCAGCATGGTTCAAAAACTATTTTAGCTGGGATGCGAATACGACGAAATGCTAACAATTATCTTACCAAACGATTGCATGATATAAAAAGAGATATAAAATTGAATGATTTACAAGCCAACGATATTCGAAATGAGAATGATATAATAACTAGTCAAAGATTCATGTATAACGATGCATCATTGATTGATCGAAGCATTCAAACCAATAGGGATCAATTTGCAGGATTTCGATTCTCGGGTCAAACTGCTACCATTGCGAGAAATCAGCAACAAGCGTTGCAAAAGAAACCAAACCTACTCCAACAAGCACAAAATATAACATTAACTAATTCTCCTCTGACACAAGTTCATTCACAATTAATCCCGTCAAATTTTTCAAGATTAACAAATCGACAAGATTGTAATGGTAGCGATTGTTTGAAAAATAATGATGCCATATCATTGTATATACCGCGGGAAAATAACACAAATGATGGGCAACTAGCACCATTGCTTCTGCTAAGCAACAATCCCTCCAGCAGTAATAATAGGAAAAATCATAATCCACAAGTGGTTAGCACGCTGAAACTTCCTCAATTGCAAACTGGAATTAAGATACTGGGACCGGATGTTCAGCAGCCTCAAAAACCAATTCCATTGTCTCCGATAGATACTTCTTATCACGTTTCACAAACAAATCCAAAGAATCATATCGAATATGGCAGTGTGAAATTACCCGAAGTGGGACCAATACCACCGTTTGCTGGTGGTGCCGAATTGACGGATTTCATACAACCTGTTGATACTGCAATGCAAACCCATCGTGTATATGAAAATATCATTCCAAATCATATTTCAACTGCTGCTTACTACGACAAAAATAAGCATTATTTGCGATCAGCCTCTGGAAATCGCGGTATTTATGGTGATTTTCATTCAGCACCGTTGGTACAATTCGGTCCAAAATTGGGAATTTATGAAGAACCAGTAACCTTTTCATCACCCTCTTCTGTTTATTCTACTTATTCTACAGAAATTGCGGATGATCGAACATCATCGTCACATTATGAATCACAATATAATTTACAGTCGGTAAGTTTTAACTTCAATGAATTATTCGATCATTTAATTACTTGTTTAACTTTCATTTTTTCATCTACAATGTATAATTTTATAATATGTTCACTTACTACTGCATGCTTTTATTTTAGTAATTAATTACAAATATATATATTAAATGAATATTCAGTTTTTATTTATAAATTTATTTTCAATTTCAATTTTTCTTTTGCTCTCTGATATTAATATCCATAATTAAAATACTAATAATTATTTTAAAAAATGGTATCGCTTTATCAATGTTAATTAAAGATTAAAAATTAAAAACAAAAACTTTTTTTTAAGCAAAAAGAAAATTATAAAAATAAATTAATTATTTAAAATTTGTTTATTTTATTAAAGCATAATGGCGTGAAGTTGAAGATTTACTTGTAATTATAAGTTGATTATTTACGGAATTGAAAAAGAAATTCGAATGATTCTTCCTTTTTTATAAATTCTACAACAGATTTAATTAATTGTAATTAGCAATCAATTTTCATTAATTTCACTCTATGCTCTATTTTGGAAAATGATGGCTTAAATAGTAGTGTATGAAGCTGTTTTGTTTTATTATTATTATCATCATATTTATCGTTTATTATTATTGTTATTGTTACTATTTATTATTATTATCATCATATTCACCGTTTATTATTACTATAATAATAATTATTACTAATACTATTATTATAATAATAATTATCATATTTATCGTTTATTATTATTACTATTCCTATTACTATAATAATAATTGTTGTTAGAAAACAATATATCTCATAATTTCTTTTATGAACTATCTCTTTGAAGTAATAGATAACGTAAAATCTAGGTTATTGAAATTTTTTGTTGAAAATTATGAGACAAATTATTTCAACGCCAAAATTGAAATAAAATTATAACATTAAATATGGAAATTTTTGAATTTCTGCTTTTTCTTTTTCTGTCTCTCTTTTTCACCTCTTCTTTTTGTTTAAATGTGGGATAATAAATATATGTTTATTATTTGAAGGAAATTTTCATTAACTATTATTTTGCGACAATTTTAACGAAAAAGAAAAAGATAGACAAAAAAAAGAGAAAGAAAGAAACAAACAAATAAATACATAAATTTGTTTCAAAATAAAATATTCAACTGAAATTCAAATTATCAAAAAATAATAGCATTTGAAGTTTGATGAAATAATTTATTTGAATGATTTAATGGAATAGCTATTTTTCTTTAAATCTCAATCTATATATTTATATCAGTGATTCCATTATTATGATTAATTCCATTATCATGATCATGAGCATTCAAATACTTAATAATTCATTCAAAATAATCCTTCATAATTTCTATCTTTATCATATCTTCCACTGATATAAATGTATCTATGCATATGTATTGATTTAAATTTTAGAAAAAATTGTTTTTTTAAATGAAATGAATTTTTATAAAAAAAGACAATTATTTTTTTCTTTGTTTTAAGCGGTTTTTCCTATATAATTGAATTAATTGATTAATTAATAGTCGTCCCTATTCAACCTCTCTTTTTTTTCTTACATTATATGATAGTTATCAGTCGCGCAGCAAACTTTTTTGCATATCTTCTGAAGGATTTCCTGCAAAATTGCAGGAATGATAAGAAATGCCGAATTATACCTTATTATACTAATACATCAATATAACAATATATTGATATACCGATATTATCTTATTCATCTATTTATTTTTTCACATTTTCATCTCTTTCACTGAGATAATGATAAAGATCTATAGCTGTGATAATAAATTAACAAAAGCAGCAGCAATAATAATAATAATAATAATAATAATAGTAATAATAATATTGGTAATATAATAATAGCAATAATAATATTAATAATAATTAGTAGTAGTAATCTAATAATAACAATAATAATAATTAGTAATAATAAGAAGAAACAAGATGTAAAGGAAAGATAATTTTTTGTTTAATACTTTGGAATAATTTTTTGTTTTAATACTTTTCATATTAATATAAAATAATAAAAGAAATAGCAAAAAAAATTGATTGAATTAAAAATATTCATATCACACCTAATATTAGCAAATAATTTTTCAATTTCATATTAATTTAAATACAGAAAAGATTTCTTAATTAGAATTCTCTTTATAAATTTGCTTCAGTAATTAATTAAAGAAATTTCTGAGAAATTTTTCATTAATAAAATTTTCTAAGGTAACCTCTAATTTATTGATTGCGATAATTTATTTTAATGCTTAATTTACAATCTTTCAAATTTCTCAACTTATTTAAAAGGTAATTATGATTGTAAAGTCTTTTTTTATATGTCGAAAATTCTGTACATCAAATTTTATGTATTATTTTACAACCGTTTATTTTGTTATGGGAAAAACGAAGAGGAAATAACTGTTAGTATACCTAAATGATAGAGATGAAAGGCGGAAAAAGAAGAAATTCATTATTTTGTTGTACTTCCTCTTAAATGTTGAACAAAACATTTTCATTGAATTATTTTGTTAGAGGGAATCTATCAGATGATAATGGAATGTGATCGATTCAAACAACTTCCTACATTGTTATCTCATCTCTTTATCATCAACCTCTTCTATCAATATCTTCTTTCCTTCTTTTTTTCCTTTCTTTCTTTTTTCAACAAAAAAAGAAATTTTTAAGAAATTTGTCGAAAAATTTTTAAATTTTAAAATTTCATAATTTTTGCAATATTTTAATAAAAAAAAATATTTAATTTGGATTTTAATAAATAAACAAATATTTGCATATTTGTTTGTTTATTAATATTTAATGTTGTTGACAGATAGATAACTTTAACAAACATAATGAATTAATGAATAATCAAATTGCGAAATCTAAAATTATCATTTAAACAAAAATTATCATTCGAAATTTATCTTTCATTTCCCTTTCGCAAAACTTCGAGAAAGAAGAAGAAGAAAAGAATTTGAATGAATAATAATAGTGAATTTCATGGTAATTACAAGAGAAATTAATCATTCTTTATTGGTGAATAATAATGTAAGAAATTCGAATTTGTCGAATGATATTTATGGTTGAAATAGAAAATAACAAAATTAAAAACCATTTGCGATCGACCTCTAATGAGATTGTAGTATTTGTATTGGTGATAAATTGCAAATGAATACAGGAATCAGATAAATAATTAAAGTTCATTGTTACTTCATTTACAAATTATCTTTTTATTATCATCCAATTTTTTTTTTGTTGTTGTTATAACGATCAAAATCAACGATATATGTAATTCAGATGAGAAGCTGTTCGAATAGAATTATACATATTGAAATAATATATTTGCATAATCATGATTCTTGATTTTAGAATCATGATTGCAATGCTTCTAAGAACAACAGCAACCAAAAATGAATCTTAATTATAAATGTTAAAATTGATTAATATATATAGCTCTTACAACATTTTGTATAATCAATTAACAAATTCTAAATTTCCTCTTTACTACTGGGCACCTGTAATTATATGATAATAATTTTAGTAATAATTGTAATATTACAATAATTATTATAATAAAATTTTAAAACTACGTAATTTAAGTTTTTTTTTAATTTTTGCATTTTAATTTTACAATTGGAAAAGGGAAATGAATTTTTTAATGTTTTAAAAGGCGAAATTTTATTTTCAAATGGAATGAACAAATATTTATTTATTCTACTGGTTGGATATTACGGGAATTGTCGAGAAATGAAAATAGTCCGATAGGAGGGAAAATGTAGAAAAGGTGACGGAGAAAATATTCTTCATCATCTATTTCCCCCCTCTCCTTCCCCCCCCCCTATCCAGTAGTGATATTACTTTTTTTGAAATTAAAATAAAGATGAAATTTCAATATTTTCTAATGAGAACAAATTTTTTTATAGACCAAATAACAAAGATGATGAAATTATAATAGTATTAATTAATAGTAATGACAATAAAAATAATAATTAATCATAATAATAATCAATGATAATAATAATAATAACAATAATTAATGATAACAGCTAATAATAACAATAGTAATTAAAAATAATAACAGTTAATAATAAAAATAATAATTAATGATAATAATGGTGATTAATAATAATAAATAAACAATAAATGATAATAAATAAACATTAAGTAAATAATAAATAACAATAAATAATTAAATAGTAATAAATAATACTGATAGTAATAATAAGAATAATGATGACAATAATAATAGCAGTTGTAATTATTGTATTTCCATTACAAAATATGTTTTAAAATTATAAGTTTATTATTGGAAATATGTGAAATGTGTAAATAAATTTGTTGTAGGATATTCAGAAATTTATATAAATTTTTGCGATTAAAAAAGAAATTTTATTAATGAAAATTTTAAAACAATTAATGAAGAAGTTATTGAAATCTTACTTAACAATCGGTAATCATTTATTTATTTTGATATGGTTAAAGCTTCACTTTAAACTATTAGTTCAATATTTTAATTTGAAATTTAAACTGTATTTATTTCAAAATTATTAATTTAACTTAATTGCCATATTCATAACACATATTGGATGATCTTCAGAATAATTAGCTTGATTTTGAACATTGTTGTATTGTCAAACTTTACGACAAATTATATGAATTATGAATTATTATAGATTAGAGTAAAAATATATGAATAGTTCAGTTATAGTTATAATTTATCATATGATCGATAATAGTTGATAAATTTGTTGATATTTTTAGAGAGAGGGGGCGAGAGTACTTGATAGACATAAGAAAGGGCAGAACGAAGGATTGATTCTGTTGTTAATTATGATTGACTGTTGTTTATTTTTGCATACAATTGAAAGTGGAGCATTTTGCTGTTGCTGATTTGCCTGATCAATGTGAATAAAACTTCGCTTTGAACACTTTCCAAGATAATGTTAGAGTAGTAGTAGTAGTTATAGTAGTAATAGTAGATGGCAACGACAAGAACAACGATATTGGTAGATGGATTAAAGAGATGATGATGAAAAAGGAGAAGTGAACCGCCATCAATAAAGATGTGATTGGATATTATGGGAATGCGGGATGCGGGATGGATGAAGAGTTGAAGAGGGGAAATGCCTTCGGTATCGGAGCATATCATGAAGAAGGAAAGGGGTAGCTGTTGTTCATTTTATAAAACCGGACTTGATCAATTTTTGATTTGTTTCGATCTTTTAAAATACATATCCATGCCTACTACATTCAACTATTAGGTTACTGTTTGTTTATAACAAAGTAAAAAAGGAAAAAAATATCGATTGTAAAGAAATGAAAAGTTAGAAAAGAAAGGAGACAAATAATATATTAAAATTTTTTAATTACTTTAAGGACTTATCACTAATTAATGATTTAAAAGTATGATAAGCCTATAAAAACACTATTTACGAGAAATTAGAAGAGTGATAATCAATAAGATAAATATGCATCACTTCAATTTGTTATTTAGAAATTTAATAATTTAAAAGAGTGGAAAAAACAAAATCATTTAAAAATTAAATGATAACAAAATTTCATCAAATCCCATTTCATTTAATTAATATTTGCAACAAATGATTTCTCTCTCTCTCTCTCTCTCTCTCTCTCTCTCTTTCATTTTTTCTTTTCTCTTTCTTTTTAATGATAAATCTTATCGTACGCATTACGAAATTTAATTTTTATTATTTCACTAAATTTCAATAATTTGTATTTAATTTTTGCAACAAATTTTATTACCAATTCTAATAATTTCTCCCATTTTTTTATTTTATATTTTAAAAATTTTTTTTCTCTTTGCTTATTCAAATAAAATGAAATTTAATTTAAATATCATTTACTGAATTCGATGATAAGTTGCCCTCTTTTTTCTTCATTTTTTCATCGATGTCAACTGAACAAATAATCTAACTATATCAAATAGGTAAATAATATATAGGCCTATAATCTACCTATATTCTATTCTATACAGGTTATATATATGAATTAAATGAAGTACAAATAATTCCGGTTTTATTTTGCTTTTTTTTCATCTTTCATTTTTTATTAGGGAAATTGTAAAAATATGAAAACAAACAGTTTCCGTGAATTTTTCAAAATTGTCACTTCGATACTTTTCTTTGTATTTTTATTTACATTAAAAGATTTCTTCATTTTTTTGAAATGAAACTATAATGCTTTACTTTTGTTTTATTTTTCCTTTTTCCCTTGCTAAATTGATGAAATTGTGAAAATAATGTGATTGATAAAAAGAGGTGTAATTTGCAATTTTAAAATTTTATAGTTTATAACTTAAAAACTTATAAGCTATAAAATATATTAATGAATAAAATTAAGACGAATAAAATATATTATATTGAGATTTTAAAATTAAAATATAGCGATTTTTTTTGATGAAATTTGATTTTCTTTCTCATTTTGAAATAGCTAATATTTAAACTTTAATAGTTTCATTTCATTCTTTTTTTCCTATTTTAGAGTGCAACAATTGATGATGATAAAGTCAATGAGAAGATGATTCATGGTATCACATCCGAGGAAATGATTAATTTCGAGAATATCGATGTTGTTACATATCCGTCTCTTCAACTTACCGCAACTGATTATGAACCACAGCTATCCGGTATGCTGATAACCTGTTATTATATCATAAAAATAAGGAAGTAATTGGATCATCGTGATGAATCATATCCAGATTATTTTGATAAGTAAGTAATTATGTAATAGAAAATATATACTCAATTGCTGCCTTAGTTCCCATTTTCTTTTGACGTTTAATGGAATATGAGAGAGATTATTTTTACTTGACAATCTTAATCTTTAATAAATTTTTTATAGGATAATATTATTTGAAATTATTAAATTTGAATTCATCAATGATTTTCCTAAAAATTCATAATTCATTTTTTTCCTCTTTTTCTTCATTCTTCCTCTCTCTTTCTTTCTCTCGCCTTCTCTCTCTCTTGCTTTCTCTCTTTTTCTCTTAGAGGATTATCACATAAATTATCGGTAAATTATAAATATATTTTCAGCAAAAGAGCCCGGTCCAGGACCTCCATCGGTGATGCCTGTAATTGACTATTCCGATGAAAAAATCTCTGATTCCACAGAGCAAAGTCCGGGAATTCCAATTCATTGTACTAATATCGGTGAATATTCATCCTTCAAATGCTCGAAAGTTCAACATAACCAACTATTTAGAATTTAGAATTAGACGATATCCTCCAATGTCTAATTTTAAGTATGCCAAATAGTAAAAGGAACGTGTAAATGATGTAGAAATCTGATATGATTAGATTTTTATAGAATTTAATTTTATACGAAATAGTAGAAATTCAATTTCTCAGATACTTCAACATCAAACACCAAATACCATCCGATATAACTGTCGTACAGGTTTTGAACTCTATTATAGTTCACTTACCAATTAAATTAATTTTTATATGAAATCATTAACTGTTGAAGGAGTTAATAAACTTGTAGAATTTATTTTAGCAACAACTATGGCTACGAAAGATGATGAAGCAAGTTATGCATCAAATGTAGAATCGACATATGCTGAAGTACCTGAAATCACAGTGATAGATACAACAGCAACAACAACAACAACATCTACTGTTTCCCCGTGTATCATGCAAATATCAAATGAAAATAAGCAAATATTTCCGATAGATGAAACATCAACAGTTTCGACAAAAAATACTATAATTAATGAAATGTCACTGGAACAAGCACGAAATACGACAGTTGAAGTTATTCCTGAAAGATATGAAACAACAACAATTACTACACATTTGGAATTAACTGATGATCAAATATCGAATACGAAATATACGATTAAACCATTATTATCTGAACCGTTTTCTCAAACAACAACAACAACAACAACAACAACAACAGCAGCAACAACAACAGTAACAACAACAACAGCAACAACAACAACAACGACAACAATTACATCAAATTTTAGAATGGAAATGAATACGGAATATAATTTGAAAGAATTGGAAATTGTCAGCACAAGTAGCACCACAATTTCTCAACAATCACAAATATTAACGTAAATTTTTATTTAATATCATTTGTCGGTTCTTATTTACTATTTACATATTATTTATTTATTTATTTTCTTAACTTCTCTTTTTTTCAATTATTCAAATTATTTAGTTGTTATTAAAAAAAATTTCATAATATATTTTAGATATACTAATCCACCATCATTCAATGTAACCGAAACAATCTCAATACCGTTATATACCAATACAACATCTACCAGAATTGTTCTTAACCGTTTACGGGGTGAAATTAATGTTTTATATACTTTTTTCAATTTTAAGAAAATTTAAGATATGTTATATTGTCCTGTAAATTAGATATATTGTAAACTGAAGTTAATTAATTAAATTAATTGGATTACTTTGATTAATTAAATTGATTGCCAAAGTTTTTTAAATATGATACTTTACTATTCTAAAAATGATAAAATTCTGTTTTTATCTATCTTTCAATATCAAAAGTTTTTGACAAACTTAATTTCCTAATATTTCAATTTCAGGCAAAGCTCGTTTAACCTGTAAGGAAGATGGTTTGCAATTCGAAATTAACACACTATTTCCATTTACCGGACAAATTTTTGCTCGTGATCGAAAATCTGTTGCTGAGTTTGTTCATTTACATATTTCATTGCTTCGGAGTCGTAGAATTAAAATTAATCCCAAAATATGCATTGCATAATGAGTAATATGCGTGCTTGTGTGTCATTGGAATCCTGAAAAGTGAACTTTGACACTTGATTGACTGAATTAAATTGATTTTGAATTTAATTTTTGGGAATTTTGCAAACTTTAATTTGAATTTTTGAAAAGTTAACATCTATCAATTGATTTGCTTAAGCAATTTTCATTTGTTTTAGGTGTTATTTTACATTTCATGAAGCAACTTTAATCAAAACAACGATGTCGTATGCTGCATGCGGTATGCGAAATAATGGTAATTTTAGTTCTGTGATAACGATTTACTTCATTTTAATGTTTAAATATTCAAAGAGTTTCAAAAATTTCGAAAGGAATAAAGAAATATTAATATTTTTTGATAATTTGCAATTTATCAGTTTTAAAAAGATCAGATAGATTTACGATATTTTCTTTTAATTAGCAAATCTAAGAAGTTATAATAGGATTAATTTTATCACATCACAACTCATTAGTAGTTAATCTTTTATCAGAATAGAAGAAGTTACAATAGGAAAATTTTATCATATCATAACTCATTATTACCTAATCTTTTATCAGAATTACTTAACAATTCATTTAATAGATTAAAATTCTTGCTAGCCTAAAAGATGACATAATCTTTCAGAAGAGCAACGACCAGAAACTCAATATCACATGCAAATTATTGTTATTTTTCAACAAAAAGACAATACGAGTACAATACAATCATTTCTAACTCAATGTGTCCATCAAAAAATACAATATCAGAAGCAAGTGATACCGAAACGTATTGAAGAAGCATTGGAAGAGTAAGTGATCAAATTTAAGTATTTCAATATCTTTTTACTAAAAAATTTGATTAATGAAATTTTGACGAACGTTTCGCACAGACTTTTTTTAATGATTGTAAACTGTGAACTTTAACCTTTTTCAAACTTTATAATCAAATTTTGTAAACTTTTTTTAATATCACAATCGAATTTTGAAATGTAAAAAGGAAAATAAATAAATGCTATACTGAAAGGTCCGATAATATTACTTTGACCGTTTATCACTTATCTTTATAGATCATTCTTAGCCAATTTTTCATTGATTTATCAACTGAGGATGATTGATTGATTGATTTGTTTCATTTAAATCTGAAATAAGTGGAATTATTTTTGTTACAGATTACGCTTAATACCGATGAAACTGGAGCATAAAGCACAAGTTCCGGAATGTATGATGCGTATTGTCGCAGAAGAAGAACATGGACATGGTGATGATGGTACTGAAATAGAAATTGTTAATATTGGACAACCGATGAGAATCGAATGGAGTTTATTACCGGAATCAGGTTTTATAAAAAAATTATATTCTTACATAATTCCAAAATTTTACTATGGAGTAAAATTTTTGAAGTTTTTAATAATTTAATAATTATTGGAAAGTAAACTATCAATCATTAAATTGATCGATAATCTGCCTTTAAGCATCATTCTACCATTTAATAATTCTATAAATAATTTCGATGAATTTGCTATTCTATTCCCAAGTATTATGCACTTTCCGGAAATTGTCATTCGTCAATTTTTTTTTTTGAAACATCAATTGTACAAATTCTATTGTTTTATCTTATCTTGAAATTTTGACATGTTCAGAAAAAGAATAAAAATTTAAATGACATAAGACTTTTTGTCTTAATGATTGATTGGCTGCAAATTAGAACAACTTTAGAAAAAATGGAATTTTACGTTTTTTTTTTTTTAGAAGCCTTTTTTATAAATCATATATCAATTCAATCGTCGTATTCAAATACCTTAGGAATTAATTTTAGACATAATTTTTAGCAAAAAAAAAATTAATTAGAAATATATTAGAAATATTAGCTAATTAGAAATATTAGCAAAAAAAAATATTTCTAATTGGCATTGTTTTGACTTTCTTTCTTAAAGTTCTGAAATTCCCACTCATAAACATTATGCAAATTAATTTAGTTTTTTCGATGTTCAAATTTAGGTATGATGAAATTAGTACGATAACTGTCATCCGAACAATTCAAAATGATACATAATGCTTAATAGATATTTTTATCAAATGATTCTGATTCATGATTTATAAAAATTTTTAGTAAAATTTAAATTTAAATTCAAATAAAAAATTTCAGATGCTTATGGATTTCATGTACGAAATTGCACGGTAGGAGATACGGTTAGTAATGAAGAATATATGGTGATCGATGAACGAGGGTATATTTACATAATCAAACTTTTCTTTTCGAAAAGTCAAAATTAAATTTTATATTACTGTGAGAAGTTTTAAAAAAAATATTGATACGGGTATTGGCGATAGGCTTCTTTTCGATAATACGATTATTGCTTTCATTTTGATGTAAATAATTTTGAATAAGTAATGGAAAATATGCAGTTATCATTAAATTCTATAAAATCATGTATGTATTTTATTTAGTTGCTCAACGGATATCAACATCTTTAGTCATCCACATTACGATACCTATCATGATATAGCTCGAGTTCATTGGCATGCATTTAAAGTACCGGATATTAATCAATTGAGTATCAAATGCTCTATAGAAATATGTACCGATATTCCGGATACCATATCTGGTTTAACTAGTTGTGATAGTATACCATCTGTGAGTTATTTTAACTATTATCTTACAATATTTTGATAGGATTGAGTGTAAAATATCAGTTATAATTTTGATGTAGTGCAATTTTCATGTAATCAAAACCAACATAATTATATCAATTGGAATTCATCATCTTGATTTAATAATAGTCTATTTTAAATGATGGTTTTGAATGAATTAGATTATGAGGTGTCAAGGTAAACTTGCTAGCCACGCAATCGATCAAGGTAACGTAAGGAAAACTGTCAATATTAACCTAGAAGCCCAGTTCTCATCCAATGGATGGATCAGGTCCTGAAATGCAGATCTATCTACGAGCTTTTTAACCGCATCAATGATGACATACACTTTGAGAGCTGGAATTATCACGGCTGCTGGTACCAGACTCTATATTTCGAAAGAATTGAAAATTAGATAGTGAGAAGATTGTATTCATTGCATTGCAGCCACCATTTTGTCCGGATTTGATAACATCAGCAACGAATGCTCTTCTATCTGGTCATGAAGTAGAAGTTATCAGAAAACGACGAGATAACAAATCATTCCAGCAACACGTTCATGCTGATGTTTGTTTGGGTGATAAGACAGATGAGTATTGCAGTTCAGAGAATTATCGTATAGATCATGAACGACATGTCAACATGTTTAAGGATAATTGTTCGTTTTGAAAATTATTAAATTCAAAATTTTCAATAGAAAATTTTTAAAGATTAATTTTTTTGGAGAAACATAATTTGTTAAAAATTTCTTTCTTCCAATGGATAATTATCCATTAAAAATCCCCTCTACAATTTGTCTTAACAAATTGTTTATAGCACCGAAACGATATTGTTTATCCCGCTTATGGTTAATTATTTGGACGGGTTTATCAGCATTAACCGTGTTACTGGCAATTATTGTACACGGGTATTGTCGCTATTTTAGACGACGACGACACTGACCTATTAAATTAGCAACAATAACAGCATCAGATCAACAACGACAATAACAACAAAATGAAAATTTATCTTTATTTAATCAATTCAGACTGAATACCAATGATAATAGCATATTGTTATCACTATTGTTAATAGCAATACCAACGATAATAGCATACTGTTATCGTTATCATCATTTTCATTTTCACAACCTATTTTTCATATATTGCTGATCCTATTTTCTTTCTCTTATCAATATCAATATTATTTATTACATTTTTCTAAATTATATGAATAATAATGTCTAAGTGACGTAACATTTCGATAGCTTTAAAAAATTTCACTGTTTCTCATACGAAAGAAATACTTGATGGAATTTTCGGAATTTCATCGATAATTGTGCATAATAATATGGAAAATTAAAAAAGCTATAAATTATCAATAATTATTAGATTTAGATATTTTTTGATCTAATTTAGAATAAATAGGATTAATAGAAAAAGTAATGAAAAGAAAAAATGAAACTAAAAAGTATAAAATAGAGTTGAAATAAAGTTTTGCAACCTCGGAACTGTTTAGATAGATAATTTCATTTCTGTATGAGAATTAATTCAATGGTGGAAAAATTAACTTGACAATCAAAATATTGAAATAAGAAAGAGAAATATTAGGAGAAACATTCAGTTTTGTTTAAATTTATTCTAAATTACCTTTCATCCTTCTTCTTTTTTTTTACTCATATAAAAATATTAACCATTTCATACGATCTTGGCAGCTGAAAATTTCTTTGCTATACAGTATTATTTGCAATTAACTGTTTTTATTATGTATTTTATCCTACCATTTGCAATATAATATTTCCATTAATTAATTGTATTGGGGTAACTGAAGGAGCAGCATTTTATGTGAAATAAAACTAAACTATTCTTACACTGGAGAAATTTAGCGAAACTCTTAGATAAAAATTTTAAAGCTATAATCACCTAACATTTTCGTATCCTTCTTTTAATGAAAAGAAGTTAACTGCTATAGTAGATCTGCTGCGGATTATTTCAAATTCATTTGTGTCTGGGCTAAAGGTTGAAAGTTAGAATGATAATGGTGATTATTTTCCTGATTTTTTTTATTCTGGCATGTATCTGTTGTAAATCTTGTGTGCTGAGTGCAATATATTTTTGTCAGGAATATGACAATCAATTTGTCAATATTCCAAGTATTATATGACAAAAAGTATTATATTTCACTATATGGTGGATAATTCTAATTCTTTTTCTTTGAATGCAATGAAAATTTATCCGAAGCGCAATGAACTATAATCTTTATAAAACTTGAGCCTTTCGAGAATAAAATGCTGCTATTTCGGGAAGCCGCCTGTTCAAAAATATAAAGTAGCCAGTGCTGAATGACTGCTCACAATGAACTCCTGGAAGTAATTATTTATTACTTTCGAGTTTGACAAATTTACTACTAAAGTCAATTGGAAAATTTCCTGCAGACAGACCGAAATACCTCATTATAAAAACAATTTCAGATTTCATCGTAGCTTCATTAACCATCATTCTCTAATGCCTTGTCCACTAGCTTTTGCAAATCTTTCCAAATCTTGTCTCTGCATTATCTCCCACATTACAGGTCGAGATCGAGCCTGTTTTTCTGTTTCCTTCTTCCAACCTAAAAAAGGACCCAAAGTGAATCGCGTACTATGGTTTCAATAGAACATTGTTCAAACAAATAAAATAATCCGTCGTTAGATTTTGCTTTCCATCACTTCTAATTCTGAATTTAGGGAGGGTTTACTTATAAAATTCAAGATTTCAATACTACTTTTTGGCTGACATTCATGCCCATCTATACCGGTACAACTAAGTCTATTAAACCTCTAAATTAAAAAACTGGTAGTGATTTTGGTTTCCACAAGAACTTCAAAGAAGATTACCAAATGCACGCTTCCATGCTTTTTGGAACACCACGGAACTCGGTTTCGTTACTTTTAATGGGATATCAAGAGCATAACGGATTTTAGGCACGCGTAAAACTGTTGTCAACAAAAGATTGAAGAAGTTTGAGGCACACCAGTATATCGATATGGCCTAAGAAAAAAGCCCAGAACGATGAAAACATGTCAGAATGCTCAATCAGATAAAAATTACCGCAAATCAGACTAACATAAACTTCGTTCTAAAATTTTAATATAATATCTAAAATTCAGTTGTATGTGAGTTGCGCATTTAGTTGCGGAACAAATAGTTCATTGGAAATTCTCAAAGGCAAAGTAATGATTTTACTTCCTTTGTCAAATTTTCACTTTTATTTTTCATATGAAAGTAATTTTGACAATTTTGATATAAAACAGTAAAAGTCAGGAAAATTATTGTGAAGAAATCTGGAAAATATAGCAAGGACTTACAACGGGAACCCTTGAGCTGAAAAAAAATACACCAGCTGGTATCACAAGATATTTGAATGCTTTAACGTATTTGCCAGCGGATGCGGTACCGGTTGGATCATATCCAAGCTGAAAAACGGCTTTTTTTCAAGTCGAATCATAATTTTAAAAAATTTAAATAAATTGCCTAGAAAAAGTAACTTACAAAAAGTGTGCACCCAATAAGAACAGATGACAGTGCTGGTACAATGAAGTTAGGATCTGTTACTGTTAGATCCAGGAACCACAGTGCGCCACCTGTGTTCCAACCAGGAAAACTGCAAAATTTCATAATTATAAAATAATACTAGCTTTTCATATATTTCAACCTCGATCAGAAACCCATCAAATTACAGCTATTCCAATTAAAGAAAGCTCTCTGAACGATATAAATGATACTTTTTTTACTTCACTTCTCCACCAAAAAACGTCTGAAATTGGAGAACTGCTTATAACACGAAAATGTGGAGTTACAATTTGCACCGCTTTAACTGGACAAAAATAGAAAGCTAAACACTTACTTGTTTTCTGCCATAAGAGTAATTCCACGATATTGGGAAATAAATAAAACTGAATTGAGCAGAAAATAATAATATCTGTTGGAGGGTCTTAAATTATAAGTATCTACATATATGTTTTCGTCGTGCGATATCTTCCGGTCTAAAATAATTGCACATCAAATGGAATGATGAACAGATGAGTGGATTAAAGTCAGCAGTAACTAAGACATCGTGATAAAATATTAAGTTGAAAAAATTTTTCAAAAACTTATTTCTATAAGTTGCAGATGGTATTTTCGCTGTGTATTTCATCTATTACCGTAATTTAAAAAAAATAGGTAGACGCGTTCGAAACGCACATCTTACTACTGCTGAATTTTCATTCTTTGATAAGATGGCATAGTCATTAAATATTACTCTAATTAAATATAATTGCTTGGACAAAATTATGGCATTTTCGGCGAATCCAAAAAATAATAAAAAAATGGTGAGAAAAATTAACACAGAGTTTCACTGCGAATTATTTCTCGAGCTTCTTTCTTCTTCTCATCAAACATTTTCAACGTCTCATCGTGCATCATTTTCTTTGGTGGAAATCTTTGCAAAAATAAAGTTGCCCGTAGAAATGCTAATCGTAAACAAAACGTAGCTGGAAAGAATGAATGAGAAAATTAAAATTATGAGAGTAGGGAGGAACATGTTCCTAATCAAAGGCATAAGATTGAGTTCAGTTCAATTAAAAAAGAAATGAAATATCATCAAACCCTCAAATGATGAATTCAAATGTTAGAAAAAGATTTTAAGTTCGAAAACTAAAATTTGAACTCTTACTTCAGGTTTAGAAATTTGTTACTTTAAGACTTCAATCCAGCCTTTTATACCTAATTCTGATATAAAATACTTACTGCATATAATAGAAGCAAACCAAGAGAGATCAAAATAATTGTGGATAAATTCTAAACCAATTCGATACCACGAAGCAGGTGAATACCACGAAAAAAGCCCAATACTATCCACAGTTGATATACCATTAAGACCAAGCATATCCAATGCATCGACCTTCAGAAGCCACTTTTCATAAAAGGAAAAGCCTGAACCAGCTACTGCTTCCGGAGGCATAGTTATTATTGGGATATCTGGTATACCCTAGAATCACGGTATTATAAATGGACGAGATTTAAATAAATTTAAATAAAACAGGAACGAAACTTAGGGTTAGCTGTATTATAGCTGCATTGCAACAAACGTTAGCTGTTTATAACAAGTTAGTCTAATTGAACACCTCATTGTTTTAATATTCTTTAAAAACAGTAATTATCAAAGTCGAGATCTACATATTTTTAATTCCATCGTTTAAGTATTGAAGCAAAATTAACAAGTTATCTCAACCATTTCTGTTGATTTCAATTTAATTTATTACGAAGCTTCGTTTCCAATGATCTTTGGCCTTAAACAAGTTAAAATTCGAATGCTGATTTGCATCTCAGGTCTTAGCAAATTTTACTATGTAGGAACTCCCTGCTGAAAAATAACAGGTTTAAATCTTAATTTGAAACTGATCAAAAGAGAATTCCTGTCTCAAAACTGCTTTGCTACAGTTTATCAGCATACTTTCTTACTATTTTATTGCTCACTAAACTGTCTTTTACAGCACACTCGTTTGGTCCAATACGCGAAAATTATGAACTAAGATAGTCAATTGAATTACTCTGCAATGTAGAAATCCGTTACTTTAAAAGGTTTGCTGGGCATTAAAATCCCCTCATTTTAGAAATAAAAAAATTTCAATCAACTTCAACACACCGCCAGAGAATCGTGTGATGGAACGAAGATATCTTTTGCCGTAGATGCATACCGAATGCCAACTACGCAATGCTGCAATTGAAAACTGGAACTGCAAATGATTGGTGTAGCAGCAGAGGTAACTGCAGCGTAAAAACGCTGTGCTGTTAGACGAGATCTCCCCAGAGAAAGTGCTGCCGTCATTCCAGTAACAATTCTGACAAAGCCGATTAGTAGAATTTTACACCATACGAATCGAAAATCTAAAAATTATGCCCACTAAAAATCAAATCTCATAGGCACTTCCCTTTGACACACGGTTACAAAGCCTAATAATGCCAAGTATTAATCTGATTGATCGCCCTGCAACACCGGTGCTTCACGTTTTGTACAATGTCCTAGCTAAAGGGAAATATATACTAAACAGCAGCTTATGCCATATTAGATGAAAAAAATAACCTTTTCCACCTTCCCAGAATTGTGATTTTACACGAGTAACATTCTCGTTGCAATTTATACACGGTTTGGCTTTTTGAAATGGCTGAATGCTAATTACAATAAATAAAACTTTATGAATATTTGAAC